AAAAGTACTATATTCATCATCTGTGCTTTACGTCGAGCTAATTCAGGGTGTCATTTGAGAAATAACCATGATGTTACTAAAAACAAGGGTTTACTATTTTACTGTGATACCTTTCTTAATGACATAAAACATTGTCCTAATAAGATCTGTACCAGTACCGTGATAAGGTCTATACATTTTTTGTAGGCTCTATTAAGGCATGGCACATGGATAAACAAAACAACAATTATATGGAATACACCGATATTACAGCTTTTTCACTTATGTGAGGAGATGACTACACGTATAATTATCCTATATACAAAATACAGTACACCTTGTACGAATAAAGATGAAAATACTTACTGTTACCTCTACTAGAATTTTATAAAAACAAGCGTGATCTCCGCGTCGTTTTTGTTTTCGAGTGCAGGTTCGAACCCGCTCGCGGCACGGGTCATTTGATGTGCTTGTAGGTGTTAATTGATACAAACGCACACATCTACAAACGTTGGCGGACATTTAATATCGTGAAGTGGGAAATTCAAAAAATAGGCCTTATTAAGACATAGGCTTTATTTGGGTCACCTACCTTATTTTAAAACATTATTCCAACTGGAAGTTACAAAACTAGTTCTGTAACAGGAACTTAACTTAAATTATATTAAAGATGTTTCGTTTTACTTAAATAATGTTTTTTATAACGGTTTTATTTATCTATTTTTATTATAATATTGAAAACTTTTTTGATTTTTGGACGTAAATAAGATGAAGTTGTAGATAAATTACAAGTTTATTAGATGAACGTGTTTTCTTATTGTTCAAACTAAAATAAATTAAACAATAACAAAAGCAAATTCTCTTATTTAATATTTAATATTTAGTCAGTGGTGTCCTAGTGGTTAAAAGGTCCGCATCTCATGCACGAGGGCTCGGGTTCGATCCTGGCAAGTATCAATTTGATTTACCAAGACATATGTACTTTTTTAAAAAAATTTGCCATCACTGATTAATGCATTCCCTAAGAGGGTTGATATCAGGCAGGCAGCCGGTCGTAAAAACAATTAGCCAAAACTATTTACAACAAGGCAGACCCTGGCTAAAGCTGGGAAATTGCCAGGTAGAAGAAGAAGAATGTAACAAAAGTGTATCATTCCCTACCACTAGTCTCCATCACTCCATACTACTCGTCTGCCGTCTGTCATTCAATACGTTAATACTGAGTGAGTTATGAATGATGAACTGTTGACGCTGCGTGTGTAGTGACGATCATACTAGGAGTAAGGTTACAGAAACTATTAAAAAACCAAGCCAAATACAACAATATATATATACATATATAAAAATATAACTACTTTCCATTTCGTATCTTTATAAAGCCTTCTCGCTTTGTGCAAAACATCTGACTATGGACAAATCACTTACAGTTATGCAGAGGAATTCCTGAACAAAATAATCAAAGAAAAATATATCAGAATAGACACATTATACTTCATAGTTTTGTACATACTTAATAATGAACTCTCAGAGACTCGATTAAACATTTTAATTTTATATTAACAATATTTAATACCTTGACTTCTTTGAATAAGAGGCTTTTTTAAAGTGGTAGAGCCTAGCTGTAGTCAAGTTACTACAGTCTACAGCTCGAACAGCTCCTTTCCCAGAAGATCGGCGTGAAGTAGTCTTTTATGGCTGCGTTTCGTCCGATGAGTGAGAGAGACGGTTGCTCTTTCGCTTTCCCCCATTTTTTCTCTCTCTCTCTCCCACAATCAATTTCGCCAATGCATCCACAACATCCCTTATTTTGCAGAAGTCCATGGCCCAAGGTATCTTCCCAACTACCTTGCATCAAGTAGGCGGTCTGCTCGTTTGCCACCTATAGGATAAAAAATACCAATCACTCCAGAACCCTGGAGAGCCTTACTTAATCCTACATAAAGAAACATAATCTCAATGTACCATCCATCGACTTATACTAATGGACATGACGTACGCGTATAATCTGCAGTAATTTTTGGTTTGAAAAGATAGAGAGAGATGGCCTATGCTTTCGGTATAGCACTCTCTCTTTCCTCATAGATGATTATCGCTCAGTCAGTACGGTGCTATTTTGAGAGAGATAAAGATAGACCGAAACTTCGTTTCCTCTCTTTCTTTCGGAGTGCCACAATTCTCATCTCTAAGGCATGTCCATTAGTATAAGTCGATGGTACCATCTACATTTATTTAATAATATCTACTCTATGCCAAGTGCATTGACAAGGAAAAGATCCCGACGACCTCGTCATTCGTGATTTGAAAGTGAGTGGCCTCAAGTTATGCTTTTACAATCACTTATTGTAATAATTACAGGCTTTACTAGTGGAGTTGAGTGCATTTCAATATAAAAACATTATATCGCCATCTGTTGGTAAAAATGCGGGAGTCAATGACATTTAAAGGGCGAGTATTGCGCAATTCATATGACTAACCTTAATATAAGTTTATAGCGTCAGACTAAGTACGACGCGTTTGCAGTTAATTCGTAAACCTTAGTACCGTACGTACGTAACCTATCTCCGTATATAACAGGATCAAAACTTGTAGTAAGTTAATGATTCCTTTGGAATTCCTTAACTGGATGAAGGAAACCATATGATCTTAAAATATTCAATTGGTTTTCAAGAAAACAAACAAATTTTTATATAACAATCAGAATTATTAAAGAAATATAATATCTCTTAAGAACCAATACGTATTTTTAATGAAAAGTGACAAATAACTCACATATAAATAATTAAAACATTGTTTTATAATAATCTTCAAGTTTGGTCTGGGATAGAACAAATCCTCGTAACTAGCATTTAATAATTCCTCGTATCTACTTTTAAGCAGATTATCAGAAGAAAGTTTGAGCTGAAATATTTTATATATTAACGACTTTTAAGCAAATCTTTTTCACAATTAGTAATAAATTAAACACTAAATGATTATCCAATTAAGCGGATTTGCACTATCCCTGACGTATTGTAACTTTTTCACTAATTTTTAAATTAAAAATGCAATTACATATATAAATATTATCCATACAGATTTGTTTGTTGAAATCTTTATTAGTTAACTTCCACTTAGGTTCTAACGTAATAAATCATCTATCCTTACTATAAGTATATATTTGTTAAACTAAATACACCGAGTTTCGAGTATTTCTTATATACCTACGATAATACTATCAAATTACAAGTTTTTCAATGAAAAGAAAACTCCATATTTATTTTGATGTAGTAAATATATCTAAGACTTTCACGTGTATTCATTTAAATAGAAAAAAGATCAAAAATAACAGGACCAAATGACATTTTCATCTCGACTTAATGATCACGGTTGTAAAGTAACCGAAACGTTGTCGTATGTAGTTAAAATAATAACGCGTAGTAAGTATTTATACGAAAATATTAGTTTCAGTTAAATTGATGTTGTAAACTTTTGTTAACTAATAAAATATTATAACAATTTAATAATAGTATATCGCTTAAATTGTTGTTTTAAATATAAATAATTTAGACAAAAAAAAAATCTAGTTTTAAAAGTTTACAAATATTGCCATATTTTAAATAAAAGCTACGCTTCATGGACTAAAAGTAGTTCGAAAGTACTATACTGAATTTGATGTTTATTAACATTTTTTATTTAAAGAATTTTTTTTGGTTAAAAATGGATTTATGTATAAACTTTGCTACGTATTGTTGGAGGTCAAATATTTCGCGTCATTATTGAGGGATATTATGTCAACTTTTACAGAAATGGCAACCGATTTATAAAATAATAAATTATTTGAATTAATCAAATAAATGTTTTACTTATAATGGTCACCCAGAACAAAAAGAAAATCATTATTATAAATTAAAAGAATACATTCTTTCATCTAAACTTTTAAAGCTTAAATTACAGAAGAATACATACGATAATTATTTATTTAAAAAAAATTTATAGGACATTATGTCTAACACTTAAAATGTACATGTTTAATTCTGTTACAATTTTATTATTTTATTAAATGTAATTAGTATTTTTAATAAACTGAACAATAGTGTCTTAAAATTATTTCCTTATTTAAGTCAATAAACATTTTATTTATAACTGTTTTTAAGATATTAATTATAATAAAAGAATGACAATAATAATTCGCCAATAATTTATTTATATGACTAAATCAAAATGTCAAGGCTGAAAGTGAACGCAAACTTTCGTAATTAATTATTTTATATGATGCCAAGTCTTGATGTATTTCTAATGTAGAAACAAGATTAAAATATATTTATTTGTATTTAATATAGTAAATATGTTGTTGTTCTATCAATATTATTGAAATTTTCCTACATCTAAAAATAGAATTGCGTTCAATAAGCCCATACACATGCGCCATTCGGACTTTCAATATAACACGGCAAATTTAAAATGCATATAACACGAACATATTCAAACTGACTTTATAACCATCTCTTTTGGTCGTATTGCATTTATGTTAGAAGTTTGGCCCTTTCTGGTTCATAGACGGATATATATCTGTCCCTTTTTAATAAAATACAAATAAAAGAAATGGGTGATTAATGGCCGCCGTTGACGTTTCGTACGTACTTGTTTCACGCAATGTCCAAATAGCCCTTTTGTTTTATAAAACGAGTGTTTATGATAATAAAATCAGTAAAATGTAGTTATATATCAATATAAATTTGTTATAATACTATTGCGTATATCCACACCAAAGACAGAAACTTCCGATAATCTAGTCCAATATTGATATATGAAATATATTTAGGAATTTATTTTTCTTGTATATCTCCAGTGGGAAGTGTTAATTATATATAATATTATTAAACATATACTAAAGTATACAATAGAAACATAAGATAATACTAGCATACAGTTCCTTCTTAAATAAATATGTTCTTTCTATATACTTCGTAAGTGAAGTCCTGGTTGCACTAATATCTAAGTGGAAGTTTTATTTGAAGTTATTCAAGTGAATTAAACCTAAAATGGTTACAATGAATTCATCTGAGAAGGCGGCGCAAAAAGCATGTCAGCAGGGACCATCCAAGTAAGAAATTTTACACGTTAACTATGATAAAAAAAGATCGCGTTTCAACTTGTTGCATTTCACAAAACCTGACTTCCTGTTATAATTACGATTTTAAAAGCTGAGGTGTTAATTATTTCAATGACAATATACACAAACCATTAAAATAGTTCACAATGAATTAAAACTACTTTAATTCTGTAAAATGTAATTGTTACCATTGAAAAGATTAAATGAATATTCTTTTGAATATAAAATGTTTTTATATGAGCTTTCATCATAATATATATAGAAATATTTACTTTATATGTACATATATATACTATTTATGATCTTAATTATAGATTTTGGACAACCAAGAAACAGACTTATATATTTTAGTAGATATTGGCAATATGTGATATATTAGTGCTGCACAGGTCTTTTTAGATTTCAAATGCACTAAAACATATATATGTTATTTAGAATTACAAATCTTGTGTTTTTTTCTTGTGATATATCAATATATATAGGCTTTCATAACAACTAGTTAAATTTAAATCAATATTCTCAAATTCAATAACTAAAATGTATATTAAAATGAATTATAACACACTAATATCTTAATTAAATACATAATAAATTATGTATTTTAATAAATGTCGGCAAACTATAATACAAAATTTATCATTAGTAGGAAAAATGTCGATTATTTAAGTATATTAAATATTATTTCTTTATTGTATGGTTAAATTGTATATTTGTGCCTGTCTAATGTTGGAGAATTAATTACTAAGATGGTGTAACATTGAGACTTGAAATTTTAGCCTCTCAGAAGGTAGACAAATCCCGAACTTGTATTTAAGTGTATGGGCCTCGGCTTATATTGTCAATGTAAGAAGAATAGCATTAAAATGTGAGACATGCTGTCTTCAGATAATAAATATATTGGAGTCATACAAAAATATATGAAAATGGTCATATAATTAACTTTCTTTGATTAAAGTTTAGATTTTTTGAGATTTTTGGGTCTTATATGTCATTAATCACATAATAATAAGAATATATACAAAATACAATCTTCTTCTTCTATCTGGCAATTTCCACGCTATAGCCAGTGTCTGCCTTACATGTGAATAGTTTTGGCTAATTGTTTTTACAACCGGCCGCCTGCTTGACATCAACCCTCTTTTGGGAATCAATATTAATCAGTGATGTTTAAATACTCTTAAAAAGTACATATGACTCGGAAAAATCACATTGGTATTTGCTCGGGCCAGGATCGAACCCGTGTCCTCGTGCATGAGACTTAACCACTAGGCCACCACTTATATACAAAATACAATATAAATATATAATTTTTCAAACTAATAATATTTCATTTTATCATTTGGGACATATTTGTATAGATAATATGTTATGTCAAAGGAAAATAACTATAATCGTTTCAATCGTCAACCATTCTAGGGATACAACAAAATGCTCAAAGGATGAAAAAGATAAAGAAAAAGAAAAAGATAAGAAAGAAAAAGATAAAGATAACATGGTTGCTAATCTTCCACCGAGCGTTCAGGCCCTGATGTCGACTATACCTTCTCCTGAAGAGTCACCCAACTATCTTGTCTATAAAAAGGTTGGTAAAATTGACATTATAGTTCTAGAATGTTCAGTACAAGTTTTTAATTACCATTGGTTTGCTGGACATAAATTTTAATAATAATTGGGTTATGTTGTGTGGTATTCAGAGGTTATAGGGAAACTATGAAACATACTTATATGTATATTATAATAAGAATTACATTAAAACTTATAACCTACATTTAAGACTACATGATTGACCCGATGTTAGGATAGCAATACCATTCCATAGCTTGTGTGGTATCAGGAATCTTCTGGTTCACACGGCTTGGTGTTCGTTACGCGGAGTCAGCGGCGTCACTCGTTATATATTTTATACATACAACGATGTGGCCCGGCGATGTTCATTTGTTTTCTAATATAATATAGTGCGTTTTTAAAAAGGTGGTTAGTGTTGGGCGTAAATTTTAATTATAGGGGGTTTACGTCGTAGATAGTAAATATTATTACACCAAAACTATATTTATGGTGACTCCGAGATATTCAAGTTGCAGAAAATAATACTCCGTTAGTATTGTAGATCCTATTTATTTATTTCGGTTATCCAACAGTGTTTATAATAATGCTATAAAAGTAATATGTAACTTAAGTATTAATTGATCAGACTAATTAGCAAGACTATTGCTTGTGTGTGTGCATATGTGTGAGTGTGTGTCTGTGTGTTTTAATAATAATTTAAGATGTACCTTTCTTAAAGCATCAATTCATAAATTTTTCTGCTATTTCAGATGGAAGCTATCATAGAGAAGATGCAAGATGAGACTTCTGGCGTTCCAGTAAGAACGGTCAAGAGCTTTATGACTAAAATACCATCTGTGAGTATATATTATTATATATACATACATACATAGGAAGGCAGACCCTGGCTAAAGCTGGGAAATTGCCAGGAAGAAGAAGATACATGTACATATATGCATATATCTAAGGTTTTCGCGAGTAGTCAGTTCAATAAAATGTTGATAGAGCTTACGGTGCCTTGGGAAACCAACATCCCCAAAGACCATACCATCAAGGTCAACAAATATTACGAGCTCACTAACGAACTAACTCGAAATAGGTTCGTAATGGATTTGTATGCGGTAGAGGTGGGAGCGAGAGGTATAATAGCAAAATCTCTCTATAACCTATTAAAAGACTTGGGCTTGTCCAGAACTAATATCAATTTATTCTTTGAACGTACTTCGAAGTCAGCCCTAGTAGGTTCTTTTCAAATTTGGTGGAGAGAGGAGCTTGGACAGTGGAGGTGAGCGTTTAACACTCGTTAGATAGAGGCCCCTAGGCCTCTGCCTCGAATTATGCGGGCAGCGGAGCGGCGGCGGCGCGGGAGAGTAGAGAGGAGCTTCAACAGTGACTGTGACTTGTGGCCCAGGTGTAGGTTTAAGGGACACTATGTAACGCGTTAAACACTCACCTCCACTAATTACTTTCATTTAAACGAATATTCAAAATTTTAGATCTAAATACTGCTTTTTCCAGGTGTTCACGGGAGCCGACCTAGTAGCTTGGCTGACAAGACATCTGAACCTAGAGGAAGGTTGGGAGGCGTTGCATATAGCGCATCTGTTAGCGGCGCATGGCTATCTATTCCCTATAGATGACCATAACTTAACTGTTAAGAATGATAACACATATTACAGGTAAAGTTGGGGGATTTTTACTACAGTAGGACCCCGATTATCCGGACCTCGGTTATCCGAATTCGCGATTATCCGGACTGCCAATCGCGACGAGTTTATTCTAATATTAACATGTCAGAACTTGTATAACGCCACGCCACTTATAACTAGGGCCCGGATAAATATGTATTAAAAAATCTAAAATATGGACGAAAAAATCAAAAATATGGAGTATAAAAAAAATACTTTCATAATTAAACATTGTTTTACTATAAGAAAAGGGTCACTCGTGACGTACATCGTTAAGAAACATTTAAAAAACGATGAAAAAAAGTAGTGAAATATTTATTTCAACAAAAAATAACAGTTTAATTCAACTTCCATTACACTAGCTTTATCAAATCGGTTGCAATACATAATGACGTCCTTCTTTAAATTATCAAAATGAAAACTGACCATTTGGTTGAAATATAGCATTACATCTGCTGAATGATGTCTCCACATACTTGGATGGATGCATACTTAAGCATACTTAATTCAGTAATTGTGTAAGCCATGTCTACTTTCCCTCGAAACTTTCGCACAGAATCTTGTTAATTTTTTAGCGTATCAAATCCTTTATTTTTATATAAAACATTAGTGGCGGGAACGTAAATTTTATGTTTTTTTTGTGAATATATGGATGATTGTGACATTTTCTTGTAAAATATGGACTTAACTTTGAAATATGGTAAAATATGGAATATAAAAGTTGCTTTTCCAGTCTAAATATGACAATCCATGTAAAAAACACATTCTAGACCGAAAATCCCGTAAATTAAAAATATGTATTTACATATTAATCCGGGCCCTACTTATAACACTTTTACGTACATTATGTACAATTTCTTAATAAACGTTGATTTTCGCTCATATGTATTTGTTGTTTTAAATAAACACCTAACATTACATATGTATGGTACAGACTATATACACTGCCGGCCAAAAGTTTGAGACCACCCTCATCAAAGTATGAAAATGAAATAAAACTCAAAAAAAATACGAAGTAAGAGGTTTAATTAATAATTAACATACTTATACATTCTTCCTACACATACCTCAGGAAGAAAAAAAAATTATTTACATCAAAAATGCCGTTAATATTTAAACAGATTTTTCATCAAAAAACCCTCCCTTGCATTTTATTACTTTTTTCACGAGTCTTGGCATACGACCAATCAATTTGTCGATTGTTTCTTGTGAAATATTGTTCCAGCTTTCTTGTAAAGTCCTCCACATGTCCTCTTGCGAGGAGGGGCAACAACTGCGTACATTTCTATCAAGCTCTTCCCACAAAAGCTCGATCGGGTTGAGATCCGGGCTCTGAGGGGGCCACACCATGTTTTTTAACACTCCTTCTGTTTCTTTATCTTCTAAATAACCCCTGCATAATTTTGAACTATGTTTAGGATCATTATCTTGTTGGAAAATAAAACTATTTCCAATTAATCTTACACCAGACGGAACGGCATTTTGGTGTAGTATTCGTTTGTACTGCTCCTTTTTCATAATTCCTTCGACTCGTACCAAATCTCCGGTTCCATAGCCCGAGAAGCATCCCCAGACCATAATAGAACCACCGCCATGTTTGACAGTTGGCACCACACAGTCTGGCATCATCTTTTCCTCGGCGCTACGTCGAACAAAAATTCGTCTCTTAGATCCAAATATTTCAAATTTGGATTCATCTGTCCAAAGAACTTTTTTAAAGTCTTCTTCAGTCCAGTCTCGATAGGTAAGGGCCCACTGCAACCGTTTCTTTTTGTTTTGTGGCCTTAGTAGTGGTTTTCGAACGGCAACACGACCAAATAAGTTAGCATCTCTCAATCGTCTTTTTACTGTAGTCAGTGATACAGGTTTAGACCGGGATTTGTTTACTTCTGCACGGATTTCTGTTGCTGTTAGGCGTCTATTCCTCTTGCTGGTAACGACGATAAATTTATCCTCGCTAGAAGTGGTAGCTCTCGACCTTCCCGATCGCAAACGATCTCGATAACTGCCAGTCTCTTTATATCGGGCTATTGTGTTATGAACACAAGTCTTCGACAACTTAAGCTGAGAGGCAATCGCACGTTCAGATTTACCTTCGTTGTGTAAAACAACTATGGTACAACGAGTTTCACTGCTAATTTCGCGCACTTTACCCATTTTAAGTGGTTTCTTTAACAGTGACGAGCTCAGACTAACCAAAACTTAATTTTATAAAAACTCAGGTAAAAAATATGTTATAGAAAGCGAAAATAATCCTGAACATATGTTTTTTAGAAAGCTAATATAATCCTGAACTTGAAACAAAACCGAAATTATTAGTAATGAGCAGCTCATAAAAATATTACAATGACTCTACCATCTGGTCCCTGCGCGGCACTCATTAATGTTTTGTAACAATAGACCTTTATAATATCATAACTTATAAATATACAAAAAGGATGATAATAATTAGTAGTTTAATAACTATAGAATACGCAGATATTCAAATCAGCTATTTGTCATATGCACTTTTGAACTATTTTGTTGGTGAATAAGATTTTTACAAGTGGTCTCAAACTTTTGGCCGGCAGTGTATGTACATATGCAAAAAACCTGTTTTTCTTCATATATTGGATTATCCGGACTGTCAATTATCCGGATGCCTACCGACAACAATTAGTACGGATAATCGAGGTCCTACTGTACTTCTAAATAATTATATTCGAGTTTATCATACCGACTTCAATATATAGAGGTTTCTATTTTGCTTATAATATATACTCGTGTTTTGTCATAGCTTTTCTATTTATGAGGGATGAGAATTTTATTGTAAGTCTTGTTATAGATTCCAAACACCATATTTCTGGCCATCAAATCAATGGGAGCCGGAGAATACGGACTATGGTGAGTGAGTTTTATGGACACATACACACAAACACACACACGTAAACTGCAATAACTTCAAGTTTCTCAACATCGTCATCATCCTATCAGAGCCCACTGCTGAGCAAAGGCCTCTTCTCACATGGAGAAGGTTAGAGCATTAATCACCATTCTCGTTGCCGAGGGCGCGGGTTCAAACCTGGCAAGTACCAATGTGATTTTTCGGAGTCCTGTACTTTCTGAGAGTATTTAGACACCTCTGACATATGGTGAAAGAGGACATCGTGAGGAAACCTGAACTTATAGTTTCACAATTATAAGTTTGAAATCACCAACCCGTTTTGATCGAGCGTGGTGATTAATGCTCAAGCCTTCTCCATGTGAGAAGAGGCCTTGCTCAGCAGTGGGCGCTGATAGGCTGATGACTGTCTGACTGTATATACAGGGTGACTGGTGAATTACTATCGATATTTGAGGACGTGATTTGTGACGATCATATATGACAAAATAAAAATTAATATAACATTAAATATTAATAAACCTCTAAGTAAAGTTAACCAAAAGTTATGTAATTAATTACGCATCGTGTAAACACCCTACAGATTAGGTATACACCCACACTCACACATACGAGTGCGGCGGCGTTGTGTTGTATCAGCACGCCGCCGCACGCCTCCACACTTGGAACACTTGGAACGTGTCAACACTTTATTTATTTATACGGAAATTTGGTCAAAAATTAAGTACCTATTTTTTTTACATAATTCGAATGAGAATCATGTACCGAGTATGCTCCTTAAATATTGATAGTAATTCACCAGTCACCCTGTATATTTCCAGCTGTATACCTCTGTAAGCGGACCATGCAGAACAAGGCCCGTCTGGAGCTGGCCGACTACGAGGCGGAGTCACTGGCGCGGCTACAGAAGATGTTCAGCAGGAAGTGGGAGTTCATCTTCATGCAGGCTGAGGCTCAGAGCAAGGTTGGTTCACGAGTTGTCGAGTGTATGGGAGGGTTGGATCATAAAGGTTGAGTGTGTGGGAGAGTTGGCTCATGAAGGTCGAGTTTGTAAGAGAGTTGGATCATGAGTGTATCTAATGTATAGGTGTAGGATTGTTTGAGTATGTATCGCTGTATTAGAGTTTTAATGTTAGTGTGTTGAGTTGTACGAGTGAAAGTTCTTGGTCCTCGCAAACTATTCAATTGTGAGTCATGAATGGTAATATGTATAATTTAAGTATGGTAATATGTCAGAGTTGTATACAATATATTTAAAATATATATTTGATGTACACAGGTGGATAAGAAACGTGATAAATTGGAGCGGAAGGTGTTGGACAGTCAAGAACGAGCCTTCTGGGATGTGCACAGACCTATGGTGAGTGGTTATATATATAAAACTGCAGATTTTAATCGTGAAATAAAATAATAAGTTTAATTTGGTTTAGAATATTTGTTAATTGTCATTTGATGTACGCCACTCTCAACAACACCACTCTTCTACGCTTTAATATTGTTTCTTATCCGGACTTGTCCGTAGTCCGGATAATCGCGAATCCGTATAACTGAGGGACAGATAATCGAGTTTCTACTGTATATATAATATTTGTATGTCAGTTTGTTTAGTTATATTATATTATCTCTGAAATGGCTTCATCTATTTTGATGAACCTTTCTTTTTCATAACATGGTTACTTCAACTATGGAGAAATTATTACATTATATACAAAAAAATACACACACATAAATAATGACTTATTTTTAATTATTTACTAAATATTGCTTACAGCCCGGTTGTGTAAATACAACGGAAATGGACCCAAAGAAAATGTCTCGAGTTAACGCATTGAAGGCAAAGAGACTGAGGCAGTGTCAGGAGTTGCTACAACATAACGTAAAGGTTACTATCGTATCAATATATATCTAACTAGCTTCGCCCGCGTGAAGTTCGGTTATATCGCGTTTCCAAGAGAACCTTTCAAAAGTCTGCTATAAAAACTATCCTATCTTCTTTCTCAATGTCAACTCTATCTCTGTACCAAATTCCATTAAAATCAGTTCAGTGGTTTAGGCGTGAAAGCGTAACAGACAGACAGACAGAGTTACTGTCGCATTTATACATAATATTAGTAGAGATGGTGGCACTTCACTTGGCGTTTATTTGTTGTGTTCGGCCAAATAAGACCATGTGTGGATTTATTCGCCTTCATTTGACATATTTGAACAAATAACAAACATACACAAATAAGCGGAAACGTATAGATGTGTTATGCCAAGTGTGGATGTCGTGTTTGCGATATTTGGACTATATACAAATATATGGACAAATGCGGCGAATACGCAACGCCAAGTGAAGTGCCACCTCAAGAAACTTTGATAAAAATCAAAAGTACATTATTTAAAATTCATTTATATTGTTAATTTTTATAAAATAAGCAAATATAGGTGAGACTTTTCATAAAAATAGATAATAGAGTGGAATTAAATATATACATGTATATATTTTTCAGAACAACCCTATAGTCACTATAACAAACGCTCAAGAAAGTGAAGAAGCTATACAGAGAAGTTCAGAAAACTTACTTAAAGAGAACGGTAAGAATATCAAATTATAATAGTTATTTTCCAAAATGGCGGCTTTACCTAAAAAGGGGGCTACTAGATATGTTTTTAGGATTTATAAAGTGATTCTTATAGTTACAAATACTAGATTTATTTCACTGTTTTGCTTATAATAGATATAGTATGCAATAATAAATATTGTAAATAAATACAAAATTAAACTCTATAAATTACATACATAAGTAATACTTTAAAAGTATTACTAGGAAGTTTTTATAAAGTCAAATGTATACAGGGTGACTGGTGAATTACTATCGATACTTGAGGACATGATATTTGACGATCATATATGACAAAATAAAAATTAATATAACATAAATATTAATAAACTTCTAAGTAAAGTTAACCAAAAGTTATGTAATTAATTACGCCTCGTGTGAACACCCTACAGATTAAATATACACACACACACACACACACACACACGCGTGCGGCGGCGTGGTGTTGTATCAGCACGCCGCCGCACGCAACCACACTTGGAACACTTGGAACGTGTCCACACTTTATTTATTTATACGGAAATTTGGTCAAAAATTAAGTACCTATTTTTTTTAGATAATTCGAATGAGAATCATGTACCAAGTAATGTCCTTAAATATTGATAGTAATTTACCAGTCACCCTGTATATAAATGAATGAAAATGTATGTACTACGTTTAAATTTTATTTTAAGCCGCTCTACCCAGGTTTTTCATATAACACGAATTCCGCCTGTAACGCGACATGCGATAGATGGACGAAAAAAATCATCGATATAATAAAATTCACTCAATCTAAGATATTTAGTATATTATAATGTTTTTTCTTTCGTTTTCCAGGTGAAAGCTCGAATCAAGCTAAGCTAGAGCGCGATAAGTGTTTAGAAGAACAAATAGAAGCTGCTCGCAGACAGCTTGGAATATTAAAAGCTAGATTAGAAAGACGGAACGTAAGGGTTAGCAAGGTCGCTGATATGTGAGTATATAATTAGATATACATATACTATCAAATAATGAAAAATACTTAGGATTAATTTTAGATAAAAATTTAACTTCCAAACCTCATATAGATTGCAAACATTCCAAAATAACTTCGCTTACTGGAGCCTTACGCAAATCTGCACGTTGTATTCCTCCAAGAGTACTAAACATTATTTACAATACTTTAGTAAAACCGGTATTAGAATACCTTATAGAAATATGGGGCAACGCGGCTAAAACACATATACAAAATTTGCAGATCTCTCAAAATAAACTTATCAAGGTCTTATTTCATGTGGATTATTATACACCTAATAAAGATTTATATAAAACAACTAAAATTTTATCTATTAAACAAATGTATAAATATAAATTATGTATACATATTCGAAAAATATTAACAAACCTTACTCATTCTCAAATTACATTTAAAACCAAAACCCATTCTAACCACACAAGGAACAGATATAAACTAGAAACACCTAAAACTTAACCAAGTACGGCATTAAAACTATTTCATTTGAAGGAGCACAGCTGTATAATTCTTTCCCTCTAAGTGTTGTCAATTCAAAATCTCTAAATATATTTAAAAAACGATTAAGAACCAATATATTGTATGATTTCACTGATCTTGTTTAGTATCACTACTGTTTATTATATGTAATCTTAATTGTAGTTATAATTTTTTAAATTTCCTTTGTAAGCAAACTTTGTTCTTTTTGCTAAATAAACTTCTTTAAACCTAAACCTACATATGTATATATATGTTACATGTTATATATTCCAGGTTCATAGCATACTGTTCCCAGTATGTAGAGTACGATGCCCTCCTCACTCCTCCGGAGTGGCCCAATCCATGGATTAGTGACACTACCGAGCTGTGGGACCAGGAGAAACAATGGTATTATATAATTATATATATTGTATATACATATAAATGTATATAATATATATTTTTTTGTATATTTTGTCTGTCTGTCTCTTTGTTTAAGTTATCTCTAAAGACCTATTCAGATGGTAGGTTTGCTTTCAGTTAGCTAAATAGAAAATAACTTATATATATATATATATATATATATATATATATATATATATACATATTTGTTTATGTATGTATATAATATGAATTACTACATCAGACACAATATTACACCTCTCTATTTGTTATATCTTTTAGATTCTCTAAAACATATAACCTACTATAGAAATAGTAAATATATATTCATTAGATTACAGTCAATCTGGGTAACTTTGACAGATAAGGGTGATATTTTATAATATATTTAAAAAAATCAATCTATCACTAAAGTGTTTTTTATTTTATCAGTACTCTCATATTACTTTTAGTTTCTAGACATCCACAGAAAGTTTATAAAACATACCAATATAGTATAAAGTCTCAATTCTGCCACAGAGCCATAAACAAAAAAGTGGTTATAAGTATTATTTTTATCAATGTGGGTAACATTTGTGTATATATTTATTAACTAATGGATACATGTAACGCAATAAAATGACTATTTGGCAATGTTACACACATTTTTTAACACCATCAAAAACGCTTAAAAACTCCTATAATTCAACATTTTTATTCAAATTATAAAGAAAACAAGCAAAAATAATTAAAACAAACAAACATTTTGTAAAATCTTGAGTATAACTTGTCTATTCTCCCCACTCCGTATAGAGCAAATCGTCATTAATTGTGTAGAGCCCAGGCTGTTTTATACTGATTTTACTATTATCTACTGTAGATACAACATAATCATATCTAATTTTAATAATTTCTCTTTTATCTGGTCATTTCCAACCACCTTGTGTTGATCTACTCATGACAACAACTGTATAACACGGGAATGTAAAATTTGTCACTTTTCCTGGAAACAGTGTGTGTTCTGTTTTAAATATAACTGTTGTTCCAGGTGACAAGTCAACATATTTTGAAGTGCAAGGTTTAGATAAGAGCATACTTACTTCTTCTTGTACATGTTGTAAAACTTCTATTACCTCTTCCTCCACCATTTCAGTTAACTTGACAGTGTCAAAGTTACCCAGTTACTGTTCAAAATACGTATCTTCATATTTATGCATGAAATTTTAAAAATAAGACTTAATTATATGAAAATATTTCATGAAAATGCGGTAGTACAATCAAATGGCTCTGTATAACATCTTACTTACCTTATCAACAACCAAAATCACAAAATATTCAAAAAGTTATTCACCCTAAAGCAAACTTAAATTCGCGCGCTATATTCAGAAAAACAGTTTTGACGTTTTTTTTACTTTGAAAACTTACTTTTTTTAAGGTGCATTTACGAAACTTGTTTAAAATCGCAAATCTATAATAAATATATATAAATAGTGTTGGTTTCATGCGAAAAAATAATCGAAACTAGTTCGTGGTCCAAAGTTACCCGATGCATCCAAGTTACCCAGATTGACTGTAATGAAAAAAATGCTGTTGTTATATATCTCTATGTATGTGTTTCAGTAAGGAGCCCCTCCCCCTTCGCCGGGTTCGCCGCTGGTCGTTCAGTCTCCGCGAACTGCTCCGGGACGCGCCGGGCAGAGAACACTTCGCTAAGTTCCTAAGCAAGGAGTTCAGCGGAGAGAATCTAAAGTAACACACATATACATACTGATATAATAATAAATGTCTATCACGCATGTCGTTACATTATATAGGAATTATAAAGAGTGGGGATGAGAATTATGTACTATATGTTAATATATATTGTGGTTTCATCAAAATTAGTTTAGGTTTTGCCTGAAAAGCAACGAAATTGTTTTCACTGTCGCTTTAATATAATACATACTATAGTCAGTGGTGTCCTAGTAGTTAAAAGGTCCGCCTCTCATGCATGAGGACGCGGGTTCGATCCTGGCAAGTACTAATGTGATGTATATTTAGAGACCTATAGATCTACAGACCTCTTAGAGTACTTAGACATAAAACATCGTGAGGAAACCTGGACTTATAATCAAATTACAAGTTTGAAATCACCGACCCGTCTTGAGCAAGCATGGTGATTAATGCTCAAACCTTCTCCATGTGAGAAGAGCTTGCTCAGCAGTGGACTCGGTAGGCTGATGATGATGATAATATGTAATATAATACGACGTCTGTTCAAAAAGTACACGGAATTTTTAAATTTCTAAGGTCTGGAGAGTCCGATTGTCAATTTTTTTTTTAATGTGTAGGCATAAATGTCCCTAGACTATGATAAAATTTTCAGCTATACTCACTGTTTACTTTTTCCGTGGTAGTCTCTAACGTTTGACGTGTTTTATGAGCTCGGAGATTTTTGTTTGTCTAAGCTATTTAAGAATTGAAGGGTCAAAGAATTTATGACAGATTTTGCGTACAAAATAAAATTAAATGTGTGTAATGTTACAAAAAGCGTATGGTGACTCTGATATGAAAAAAACAAGTGTTTACGAGTGGTATAAGCGTTTCCAAATTAGCCGAAAAGACGTTGAAAATGACGAACGGACCGGTCGACCATATATTACATATATTATAGTTTCATCAAAATCGATTTAGTTTTTACCTAATAACTAACAAATCTATATCTTACAGATTCTGGTTGGCCGTTCAAGAGTTGAAATCACTCCCCATACGTCGCGTTTCCTCTCGCGCTAAGGAGATATGGAAGGAATTCCTCGCATCTGACGCTCCCTCCCCCGTTAATATAGACGCGGCCAGCAGGTGAGGGAATAGGGGTTGTGAGGAAATAGGGGTTGTTAGGAAATAGGGGTTGTTAGGAAATAGGGGTTAGGGGTTAATAGGGGTTATTTTTGTATGGAGGAGGAATCACGATGGTCTTTATTGGATAGACTGCGTGCTTTATACCCAGTAAATATAAATTAAATACTAAATAATTACTAATTGTGAAAAAATTTCATTAAAAGTCGTTAATATAAATATTTCATCTCAAACTTTCTTCTTATAATCTGCTTCCAATGTAGATACTTATTATACAATGATAGTTACCAGGATTTGCACTATCACCGACGATAAACCACAAAACCACATTGTTGAATATATAATTATGTAGCATATTAAAATAAGTTTAATTTGTTAATCTGTCTGAAACATCACTTACAATAAATAATTTTATAATCTATATTCACTTTAGTCTATAGTCATGTCTTTTGTCTATGATTTTGTTAACTTGTGAAGAACAAATTTCTAGTTTTGTTCAACAGAAAATATCAATCCATTTAATATACTAAGAATGATATATAAATATGTGAAGCATTTTTTCAGTGTCATCAAAAAAGGTGGGTTAATGGGGGTTTAGTAATGTGGGATTTATTTCCAACGATTTAACAAGAGTTTAAGTTGCGTTATAGCATTGTGTGATTTAGGGGTTGAATGGAGGTTCGGTTTAGTGATATGGTAGTTAATTTTGAGGTTTAAAATGTGTGTTGTAGTATATAAATTATATATGTTGGGGCTTGAGTGAATACTAGGTATGTTTGGGGTTTCCAATGAGGGTTCTAGTATTATAGTTATGTTTTTTAGGGGTTTATGTGGGTTGAACGTGTTTTCTAATATGTGTTGTATTTCTAGGGAATTAACCCGAGTGAGAGTGGAATCAGGTATAGCTGATAGATACTGCTTCGATCAAGCACAGGTGAGTAGATGAGAAATAATGAAGAATGATGAATTATATATATATATATATAAGAAAAAAACAATTAGCCAAAACTATTTACACTAGTTCTATGGAAGAGAAGAACATGTTGTGCCGACCATACATAAAGTGGAATTAGGGCAGGAAATATATATAAATATATACAAGAAATAATGGAATCTTTATTAATTTTAATATTTATATGATTTTTTTATAAAAATAAGTGGTTTGAAAGCTATTCAATTTTTGTAAGAAACATATTTTCTCTCCCAATATATATTATAAAGGTTTGTTTTTTCAATTTTCGTTGCGTTTATATATTTTTATTTACATGTAATATAATACAGAAATAAAAAAAATTGTTTATGAAATAGAAGTGAAACTACATAATGTTGAAATGAATACAGGAAGGATTTTTAAGTGTTTCTTTAAGATTAATTTCATAAAAATTACTTAAGTTACAAAAGAAGGAAAGGTTTTCTATAATTATTATATATGTATATGTATGTTTATATGTATGTTTATATGTTCCAGGCTCACGTATATCACCTCATGAAATCAGACAGCTACTCGAGGTACTTGCGATCAGATATGTATAAGGACTACCTCAACGGTTCTAAGAAGAAGGTATGCTCACACACACTCGACGATAAATAAAAATAATATTCTTCTACTTAAATCCTACTAATATTATAAATGCTAAAGTAACTCTGTCTGTCTGTTACGCTTCACGCCTAAACCACTGAACTGATTTTAATGAAATTTGGTACAGAGATAGAGTTGACCTTGAGAAAGAACATAGGATAGTTTTTATCACAGACTTGAAAGGTTCTCTTGGAAACGCGATACAATCGAACTCCACGCGGGCGAAGCTGCGGGCAGAAAGCTAGTATCATATACAGGGTGTTCTAAAAACTGTGTCAACCCTTAAAGGCATGTATACATATAAGTATAAGCTTTTTATAAAAAATAGTATAACTTAAAAAATATCAAGCAGAGGTCAGTTACAGTGCATAGACTAAATAAATTTTAAATCGACATTATTTGAAAAAATGTTCCAAACATCTGACCCATACGAGGTCAAGGCACCGTATAGTCGCGACGGCGCATGCGTGGCCATTGACCGCAGGCGCCGGGCCGCCGGCGTTATTATTACTATTCTGTTATTTGTTCGAATAGAGATTTGAAAGTGTAAAAATTAGTTATATCGATAAATATTCTATCGACATTTTCAATATTGCTATAAATAGTTATGCTTTTCATATTAAAATAATTTCATTTAATTAACTTTTATTAATAATAAATATTATAATTTGAAACTTGTTCAGGTAAATTAACTACATATGTTGTATTATAAGGATAAATCGTTAATCTATTTCTGTTAAAAATGGTGTTTTATAATCAAAAATAATACTAATGTTTGATATATCAAAATAAGGATCGAAATAATATGAATATTAAATATTTCTTTATTGTTATGATTTTTTAAATATCGATATTTCCAATAATGTGAAAGTAACTTCAAGGTCGTCACTAGTAGCGCAGCAGCTGTGATGACGTCATTGCGTGTCATCGTGTTATACCAGGGTTTACAAACATTCTGTTACTCTACATATAATAATCATTTAATATTTAATTTTATTATTTTTATTGAAGAGTTTGTAAATGTAAGTTGTTTGATTGTGTTCCATTTTCGATACTGAGTTAAGGGGGTTGACACAGTTTTTCATACACCCTGTATAGAGGGCGTAAGAAAGAGAGAGGGATCAATAAAATTTTCGACTAAATATGCTCTACAGGGTGACTGGTGAATTACTATCAATATTTATGGAGCATACTCGGTACATGATTCTCATTCGAATTATGTAAAAAAAATAGGTACTTAGTTTTTGACCAAATTTCCGTATAAATAAATAAAGTGTTGACACGTTCCAAGTGTGGACGCGTGCGGCGACGTGCTGATACAACACTACGCCGCCGCCGCGTCTGTGTGAGTGTGTGTGTATACCTAATCTGTAGCGTGTTCACACGATGCGTAATTAATTACATAACTTTTGGTTAACTTTACTTAGAAGTTTATTAATATTTATGTTATATTAATTTTTATTTTGTCATATATGATCGTCAAATATCACGTCCTCAAATATCGATAGTAATTCACCTGTCACCCTGTATATATAATTAAAAATCTTAATAATCCTCATAATTATACATATATATTATGTTTATGTTTCAGACATCAGTGAAGGGCATCAGATCCATAGTGTCATTCACCGGACGCAAGGAAACCGGGAATTGATGACGTCTTGAGGATTGATGACGTCATGAGAATTGATGACGTCATGAGCATTGAACATGACAAAAGACATATATATATATACATATATAATGTATGGAGATATAGTAATGTTGATGTTAGACAGTAAACTTAATTAATTTAATTCAATATTATATGTTTATTATTTGACAATAACGTCAATGATATTGTAATGCAATAATTTAATTTTTTTTTATAAAATCTCAGAAAATTTCCTAACCAAAGCTGTTTTAAGACTGTCTTTAGTATATTTTTATATTATTTTTCTAATTCTATTTTCTTTATTCGTCTATGTTAGGTGAATTTGATCTTTTTTGAAGGTATAGAGTGAAAATTTAATATTTTTCCAAAAGATACCAAAATAACTGCCATTACCAAGTTTTTTTTTTTGTATATCTTTGGTAATAATTCAGTAATTTTTTATATAATATACGATGTAGAATTCCATTTCAGTATTGTAACATAGCTATAAGTACAAGTGTATGAAAATTTTTGCAATATATTATAAGTAGGTAACCCGAAAATGATGAAACTCATTGATTTCCACAAGTAATCTATAAGAGAAGTTTAAATCACATATTGTTTAGTCAATTTAATTATTTACATTACATTTATTTTATTAAACAACTAGTCTATAAGATCTTCCATGTACCAAAAGGGGGTCCGCCATTTTGGATTCTCCCCACCTTAAAATAATCCAAATACCATATTATAACTAATAGTATGTTAGATATTTAATGTCTCCTCTAATAAATACCAAATAGATACCAGAGAGCATTTATTGTGTTAGATATAGTGAAAAATAAATTATTTTAAATTGTATTAAATGGTGTTTTATTGGTATTTTCCCAAAGACAGTTGATGTCAGGCAGGCGGCCGGTCGTGAAAACAATTAGACAAAACTATTCACAACATGGAAGGCAGAGCCTGGCTATAGCTGGGAAATTGCCAGGTAGAAGAGTTATTTTTAGAAGAGTTATTTTTCCTAAATGTGGCAACTGAGCAGACGGCCTACCTGATTGAGGTAGTACCGTCGCCTATGAATATGGAATATGGGAAAAAGGTGGGAAAGGGAGGGAAAAGAAAAAGCAACCGTCTCTCTCACTCGTCATACGAAACGCAGTCATTAAAGACTACTTCACGCCGATCTTCAGTGAGAGGGTGGTACTTACGGTCGAGACAGAACATGTTCGAGCTGTAGTAACTTGACCACAGATAGGATGTAACAGCTACAGAACTAGGTTTTGAGGTGACGCAGAGATAATAAATGATGAAATTGATTACGGACCAAATAATTCATATAAATGATGGATAATGTTTTTTATGTCCTTATTTAATACAAGTTAGTATCATTTAGGGTGAGGAGGACGCTAAGAGGGTGAGAATAATGTTATGAGGGTGAAAATAATGAAAATATTCTTGACACGTTTATCATTGTTGCCACAAATACTCGGTTAAAGATCTCTTAAAGATAATCGTCTGATGAGTTGTGATGAGAATTGTTAAAACTTCTGAACTAGTATGAGAAGGAGTGAGAAGCATGAGTCTTGATGAAGAACAGAATATTTAGTGAGACTTTCACACCAATTTATATGTACTTTTAAATACTGAGAAGAGAATTATATATTTTATTATAATGATAAGCAACGAAGAAAATACCTATATAATTTTATGTATTTTAAAATGACTGAAGTGTTGACAGATACAAAAAATTACGTAAAGAGAAATGCGTTCTTCAACTCTTACATAAATATACTTTTCAATTAAGAAGTTAAATTATTATAATATTAATGCAAATATGTTTATGACTTTGAAAACATATTAAAATTACAATTATAAGAGTTTAAAATCGTCAAATAATTAAAAAACGTTGACATTGGCAGAATATACCACGACTTCAATGCGAATGAAACCATATTAAAAAAATAAAGTCATTGAGCAGCCATTGGTATATCTATATATTTTTAATAACAAAAGAAAAATATTTATAACATTTTAATAGATTAATTCAAATAAATAATATTTGCTCATCAAACAGATGAGCAAAATAATTAAGGTAGGCAGAATGTAAACTTCGTTTTGTACGAACTGACGAATTAGGCGATAGACGGCGTTGACTGTAGATACACAATATATTTAAGGGCCCGCCTCTCGTCGCCGAGGGCGCGGGTTCGATCCTGGCCCGGGCAAGTACCAATGTGATTTTTCCGAATCATATGTACTTTCTAAGAGTATTTAGACATCACTGATTAATGTTGATTCCCTAAAGAGGGTTGATTGTCAGGCAGGCGGCCGGTCGGAAAAACAAATAGCCAAAAACTATTCACAACATGTAAGGCAGACCCTGGCTGTAGCTGGGAAATTGCCAGGTAGAAGAAGATCTTTAAACAGTGTGATAGCTTTTATCTGCTGTAAACATAAAAACGAATCATTATAATTATCAATAAACTTTCTGTAAATATATGCGAATTCTTAGTGAACTCTTTTATTACAGACTAGCTTTTACCGCGGCTTCGTCCGCGTGGAATAGTTACTACCGACAGATTTTTGGTTTTTCCCACATAGTTCCCGTTCTTGCGGGGTTTTCGGAATGGTCGAGTTCCCGTAGAATTTTCTGGATGAAACCTATGTTTTTTTTATTAATAATGAAGTACTCTTAACCAACAACATATTTATTTGTTTATTTGAATAATGATTAATATTATTATGTTGATACAACTTAAACAAATTATTTCGACCAAATTAGGTACCATAAAAACGGTTTTTGTGAGTTAATTTTAAAAGATAGACATATACTGTTGCGGACTGTTTTTTAGATCATTAAGAGAGCTATTATTCTTTAATACATATTTTTTGTGTATCTTGAACCGTTTTCGCGGCGCACGCAACGGAAGGCTTCAAAGATGAAATAATTTCTCCCGTTTTTTACACATTTACCACTATATCTTTGCTCCTATTAGTCGTAGCGTGATGTTATATAGCCTACAGCCTTCCTCGATAACTGGACTATCCAACACAAAAAGAATTATTCAATTCGAACCAGCAGTTTCGGAGATTAGCGCTTTCAAACAAATAAACAAACAAACAAACAAACAAACAAACAAACAAACTCTTCAGCTTTATAATATTAGTATAGATTTGTTCGTTATAGATTTATTTAATTATTAATAAACATGTATTTTTTACGATCCTGAAGTCCGATATACAAGAAAAATATAAAATTCTGAAAACGAAACAATTTATAAATGAAAACAAACATAAATAATCATTATAAGCCTATCAGAGCCCACTGTTGATCAAAGGCCTCTCACTTTTTATTCACAACTGGAAGACCTGGCGAACTTCGTATCGCCCTATAATCAAGAAATGTCTATTACGTTTTCTATTTATATTTTTGGAGTTTACCTTTAAGCCATAAATCTCCGTGTTTTGAAGTGCGACAGAATGATTGACATATTAGTTACTTGTCAAATCTAATGTCAAAAAAAACGTTTGTATGGGAAATAGAAAAGGGCTGTTTTTATGGTTTTCCCAGTAATGAATCAATTTTTTTCAGCTTTTAAACCTTCCCTGAACCTCCACGAACATTTCAAGACTAAGATAAGATAAATCCGTTCAGCTGTTCTCGAGTTTTAGCGAGACTAAGGAACAGCAATCCATTTTTATATATATAGATAGAAGATAGAAGATGATATACTAAAGATTAATATCAATTAATTATCTCAGATTGAGATAAAAAAAAGTATTTTACTTCTACTTAATGCCCTTGATAAATTAATGCTTAATTTGGTCATCTTTCTTCAGAAGATTTAATAATTCTTTTGAACCTAAAACAGTGTAGTGTGATTAAATTGTGACAGTTCATATATGCTCTCACAAACATTTTTCTAGATCTTAATAAGACTTACAAAACCCGTAGTTCATTATTATGTTGTATCCTGAATTGTTTTTGCGGCGTACGAAAATAGGTTTTTAATTACTCATCGGGTTAGAAAATAGCAATTTTCTTACAAATTTCAATTTTATTTGAAAATCAATTATAGCTTATAGCCTTGATCGATAAATGGTTTATCCAAGAGTGAAAGAAATATTCAAATCCGATCAATAGTTTCTGAGATTAGCGTGTACAAACAAATCAACAAACTGTGGCTTGTTACGTACTCGCAACATATTATAAAATAAATGAATATCGCCGGGGCAAAACAGTTGTATGGATAAAATATATAACGAGTGTCGCCGCTGACTCCGCAGAACGAACACCAAGCCGTGTGAACCAGAAGATTCCTGATACCACACAAGCTATGGAATGGTATTGCTATACTAACATCGGGTCAATCATGTAGTCTTAGGTGTAGGTTATAAGTTTTAATATGTAATTCTTATGAGACGACACTTCTCATCATTCTATGTATTCACGGTGCGTGTGTCGGGTCCATCGTTGCAGTAAGAGGAGCTTCAACAGTGCCTGGGACTTGTGACCCAGGTGTAGGTTTAAGGGACCCCTATCTAACGCGCGTTATACGCTCACCTCCACTGTCCAAGTTCCTCTCTCTACCTAACCAAATTTGAAAAGAACCTACTAGGGCTGCCTTCGACGTACGTTCCAAGAATGAATTAATGTCAGTTCTGGACAGGCCCAAGTCTTTTAGTAGGTTATAGAGAGATTAAGCTGTTATAACTTATAACTCTTGCTCCCACCTCTAATATACATATATAAGTTTCATTTAACCTCTGGTTGTCACCCTATATAATTGGCTTTATAATATATTAAGATATATTTGAAAATTATTATAATAAGGACGTTTTTCATATAAGTATTCTAATATTTTAATTGTCTTAGAATTTACACAGCTGTCCACATTATTTGCTTACCACGAAGTAACTACGAAACAAAGTTTTGACGTGTACAATTATTTTGTTTTTCCATTAACTAAGTAAATAAACGTACTGTTATTGTAACAGTCAGTTAAAATTTAAGTATTTTATTATTGAACCAAGATTAACAGATTCTGATAAATTCAAATTGAATTGGGTTTATTTCGAGTAAGATGTATGGCATAAAAAATTTGTTGGACAATTGATTCAGTCAATACAAAGGCTTATATTATAAAAATATTTCTTCTACAATAAGAAAAAAGAATTTAAATTATAATAATACTAAAAAATTGTTTGTATATTAACATTTTTTCATGTTTCTGTAAGGCTTGAAGATAATTAATTTCATAAACTAAATTTAGAATGAAAAAAATATTCATTGTATTTAAATAAATGAGTCATGGTGTCCTAGTGGTTAAAGGTCCGCCTCTCATGCATGAGTGCGCGGGTTCGATCCTGGCAAGTACTAATGTAATATTACCGAGTCATATGTATTCAGACATAGCTGACTGATGAAGGAAAAAATTGTGAGGAAACATAGACTTATATCAAAATTTAATTTTGAAATCCCTAACACGTCTTGAGCAAGCGTGGTGATTAATGCTCAAACCTCCTCCGTGTGAGAAGAGGCCTTTGCTCAGCAGTGGGCTGTGATAATTATGATTTTCATTTTATTGTAAGACTTGTACTACATATGGCATGTTTTGAATTCCTTCAAAATAATACATATATATATATATATATATATATATACAAGAATTTTTTCTAATTTCTATGACAATCTCGAACTATCGCAAACACTAATTAATAATCAGATATATCAATGCTAATATGAATACATTTTTATTTGCACAAATGTTACAATTTACACACAATGTCATATAAAGTCTGCTTATTAAGTGTTTTCGTGTGGGCGAAGACAGTCTAGCCACGAGGCGAAAATGTTCATAACATATTTAGTGCTGGCTGCGACGCTCCATGTAAGTAAAGACATGTGATACTACTTGTATATTTACCATAGGTTTGAACTAATAAACTACAAACAGACAGACGAAACCTCTCATCATTCCATGTATTCACGGTGCGGGTGTCGGGTCCATCGTTGTAGTGAGAGGAGCTTCAACAGTGACTGGGACTTGTGACCCAGGTGTAGGTTTAAGGGACCCCTATCTAACGCGCGTTAAACGCTCACCTCCACCGTACAAGCTCTTCTATACCAAATTTGACAACCTACTTCGTAAACAAATTCGTAAAACTGTAGGTTTACATAAGCGTCATGTCCATTTAAGTTATTATACAACTCTCGTTATTCCTTAAAAGTTAAAATTATAACAAATATAAAGTTAATAATTGAGATCTAAACACTATAACAAAATATTCAGCTATATTTATAGGAAGATACATTTAAACGACTTTATTATGACAAAGAACAAAAAAAAATTTGTCACTTTTATATTATATCTACCTACATAAAACTTACAATTGATCATGTATTTCTAATCATAATTATATTTCCATAGATCTGCGCGTCGGTAGCGGAGCCGGTACCTAACCGTAAGTGCATTATTTATACATATAATATCCCGTGACTTTACTTCATTAATATTTATTTAATTCCAGGCCCGGCGCACACCGTCACTGTATTACAACGGAGAAGATACCAAGGTAAGCATCACGAAATTACCAAAATATATATATATTTTAGAGGAATTTTCAACTTATAATTACAAATTGCTTAGGTTATACTAGAATTCTTGTGTGATGTAACACTAGTCAACAAAAAAGATAAAGTTTTTTGTTTCCTTTGATGTTTTTCTTGTTTTTTTTTGGCAACAGTTTTTCGAACAGATTTTGTTTTTGAGTTACACCTTAAACTGCTAACTAAGCTCATTTATTTTTATGTACATTTCCGTTTTTTATTGTGCAATATATTTTGTTGCTGTTTTCAATATGGCTTTATCGAAATCTTGTGTGCTTAATAAAGACTCTTTTTACTAAATTTGTGTTGAATATGTATTTGTAAAATAACGAAAAACTCATTACTTTAAAATAAAATTATATAATCAGGACAAGTAAAAATAGTAAAGTTGTTAGCAAAATTCTATGTAGTATTTTTTCATTATTATAATTATAATAGAAATAACTAATTACATAGATAAAAATAAAAGAAACAAAACTTTTGTTGAGTGTCATATTTAAATTCTTTCGTATACCAAATAAATATATACCAATTATAACACAACAAAGGCTATTAGCAGTTAATTTGGCTATCCTATTTAGAGTTAAATAATCCGTAGGTTCGGAACAGATAGCTTCAGAAGAATATAGAGAAGAAAACCACAGCAGAGAAGAAGAAGAATGGGATTCTAAAGAACAGAAATATTCTTTTGAGCATGAATCGGATGAGATCGTTGATGCTAAATCATTAGAATCATTTACTAATGATACGAGTAGTAAAGTTATTGATAACGTAGGTAGGTATATGTAGGAAAAATGTACGCTTACCACTAGTTTCATCACTTCACACTACTCGTCTCCTACTGTCGTTCAAGAGACGAAACTTCTCAGCATTCCATGGATTCACCGTGCGGGTGCCGGGTCCATCGCGTTGCAGGGAGAGGAGCTTCAACAGTGCCTGGGACTTGCGACCCAAGTGTAGGTTGAAGGGGCCCCTTAACTAACGCGCGTTATACGCTCACCTCCACTGTCCAAGCTCCTCTCCCTACCTAACCAAATTTGAAAAGAACCTACTAGGGCTGCCTTCGATATACGTTCCCGTTAATACTGAGTGAGTTATGAATGATGAACTGTTGACGCTGCGTGTGTAGTTACGATGATACTAGGAGTAAGATTTTCGCGTATTCATTTAAATGAAACTAATATTTTCGTATACTACGGGTTTTTTTATTTTAACTACATACTATCGAAATTACAGTTATTCATCTCGTCTTAATGATCGCGGTTGTAAAGTAACCGAAACGTTGTATTTAGTAAAAATAAAAAACGCGTAGTATACGAAAATATTAGTTTTATTTAAATGTTAGACTAATAACAGAAAGTTTGCCGTTTTTTCTAATATATAATATAAATGATAAACGTCAAAAAATCTGTTTAGTTTGACGATCAGGACCCGTAATAAGGTTGTCTTAAATTATTTAATATACATTCTAGTATAATTTACTTACAGATAAGATATACAGTTATACAAAACCAATGGAAGAGGCCGTGGATTTGACAGGTTTGTGGAAAAAATATGTATAATATTAAAAAACTGAAATATACAGAGCGAATTAAGAATCTTTTTAAAAATTGATCGTGGCAAAAATATTCCACGATTAACTTTCCGCCCTCAGCTTCGCCCGCGTGGAGTTCGGTTATATCGGGTTTCCAAGAGAACCTTTCAAAAGTCTGGGATAAAAACTATCCTATGTTTATTCTCAAGGTCAACTCTATGTCTGTACCAAATTTCATTAAAATCAGTTCAGTGGTTTAGGCGTGAAAGCATAACAGACAGACAGAGTTACTTTCGCATTTATCGCAGTCTTTATCGCATATATTTTTCGCAGTGTGAATGAAGCATAGCATAAAAAAGAATTTCAATACTTTTCAATGTTTATAATAGGTGATAATTAATAAATGTTTTAATAATTAAGTAAGGATTCTGAACTAATGATAAAACATCTTAAATTTTGTTGAAAACACTATAAATTATGTGAAATAATTTGTTGTGTTCTCAATCTTGAAAAAACATGGGTTTATTAAGTTTGAATTTGTTATTTCAATTATAATTAGCTGTTTAATTTTATATTTAGAGACGAAACCTCTTAGTTTGTGTCAAAATATAATAATGAACCACTGAGTATGGATTTATTACGAAATTATTAAATAATTTAGAAAATTCTAACTTTAATACATGATAGATTTAAAATTACTTATAAATAAAAACAAAAATAAGTATCCGTTCTTGGAAGAAATTAATAAAAAATTTTAATACATTAAACTTTTGGAAGGTTAATCACGTTTTCTAAATATGAAATAATATCTTTTTGGGTGTAAAATTATACATTTTAGGTAAATTTTTCAAGCATTTTCCTGACTGTTGTTGTATTTTGATCGCCTCAAATAACTTTGTTTTCAGATTCGCGTGACATAACCGAAGTTTTATATGAAATCACCGGGTTTAAAGGTAAGATATTTAATATATTAATTTATTAAAATATAATGGAGTTACCATTTATGTATATATATACAACATAAAGAATTTTCCAATACATTATGTTTTTTTAGAGAATTCTTTAATAAAATACGTATGAAGAATATTATTTAAAATTAAATGTATTATTTATCTTTCAAAATACAAATTGAGACATTAATTTATTACTAGTAGATCTATCAATTGCCAGTTCATAGTTTTAAAACTATGATTTAATAAGCAAAGAGGTTCTATGATTATTAGTTTCATAACAAAACATTATACATGTCGCCACCGTCACTGTACAACGATAAAATAGATTAAATTAATCATTACTGCACATAATAAGCATTTTCAAAATTGTCTGTCAATAAAAATTGTGGTTGTCTCGTGCATGAGGTCGCGGGTTCGATCCTGGTAAGTACCAATGTGATGTTTCCGAGTCATATGTACTTTATAAGAGTGTTTAGACATCACTGACAGGTGAAGGAAAACATCGTGAGGAGACATGGACTTATAATTTCACAATTATAAGTTTGAAATCACCAACCTATCTTGGGCGAGCGTGGTGATTAATGCTCAAACCTCCTCCATGTGAGAAAGAGGCCTTTGCTCAGCAGTGGACTCTGATAGGCTGATGACGAAAAGGTGTTTCATTTAACAACTAGGCTTATTACAACGTTTTTAAAATATCCAGAAACATTACCTGGACAAATGGGTATTAAATGCGCTAATGAATGTGACCATCTACCCAGATAGCCCAGAATAATTTAAAGACTTGCTCTAGACCAGTGTTTTCCAATGTTTTTGGATCCATATCCCATTTTTCAAACTGAACTGGGTATTATCCCCTTATAAATATTGTTTAGAAGGAAATTTCAATTAATTTAATTTTAATTAAAATATTAATTGTAAAAAAGCAGGAATATTAATCACTTATTTTGGTTGACTAGATCAATTGAATATAAGAGTCACAAAAACATATATAAATTGTAAGTTCAATGGATTTTTGATTCCGTAACGCTTTTTATATCTTTTTAATACTAATAATCATTGAAGGATGAAAGGTCAGTGGTGGCCTATTAATTAAAAAACCCGCCTCTCATGCATCACGGCGCAGGTTCGATCCTGGCATGCGCCAATGTGATTTTTCCGAGTCATATGTACTTTATAAGTGTATTTAGACATCACTGATTAATGCATTCCTAAAAAGGGTTGATGTCAGGCAGGCGGCCGGTCGTAAAAACAATTAGCCAAAACAATTCACAACATGTAAGGCAGACCCTGGCTAAAGCTGGGTATTTGACAGGTAGAAGTAGAATCAAGTTAGAAGTAGAAGATAAATTTAATATACCTGAATTCTCCCCCTCTACATTACGCACAATATTGGAAAACACTGCTGTAGAAGTCCGATAGGTCACAAAATCAAGTGAGCTGGAATCTTTATTTCGTTTATAATTATGAATAACGAGCAAAGACAGGGTCTAAAACAAGCATGTTAAATATTAGTTGCAGCAATAACTTATTTTAACTTTAGTAACAATAGTTGTTCATAAAATTAATCTTTACATACAATAGTTATATCAAAGACTAAGTATTCATTTAAATTAAACTAATATTTTCATTACTATGCGCTTTTTATTTTGTATTTTAATATATATGAGACGAAACCTCTCATCATTCAATGTATTCACGGTGCGTGTGTCGGGTCCATCGTTGTAGTGAGAGGAGCTTCAACAGTGACAGGGACTTGTGACCCAGGCGTAGGTTAATAACGCGTAGTAATATGAAAATATTAGTTTCTTTTATATATAGGAATATTACCAAACAACATATATATGAACAAACACAGCTGTGGCAATAAATATATGACGATCATTGCTAGTGTATACAAAATATTGAACAAAAATGTTTATGGCGACATACTTAGTCATATATTTTGCTATTTGTTCGAAAACTATTCAACAGATTTTGATGAAACTTTACCAAAATATAGTCATTATAATAAGATATGTATCAGTTTTTGCGAGATTAAGGTAAATATAATGTGTAAGAACGAAACTAATATTTTTCGGATGTACTACGCGACTTTATTTTTGATAAAAACTACATCTTCATCATCATCCTATCAGAGCCCACTGCTGGGCAAAGGCCTCTTCTCACATGGAGAAGGTTTGAGCATTAATCACCACGCTCGCTCAACACGGGTTGGTGATTTTAAACTTATAATTGTGAAATTATAAGTCCAGGTTTTCTCACGATGTTTTCCTTCACCGTATGTCAGTGGTATCTAAATACTCTTAGAATGGACATATGACTCGGAAAAATCACATTGGTACATGCCAGGATCGAACCCGCGCCCTCGGCAACGAAAGGCATGCCCTTTAACCACTAGGCCACCACTGACTACATACTCCCGACGTTTCGGTTACTTTACAACCGTTATCAGTGTGTAGTTATTTAGAAAAATAAAGACGCGTAGTGTATAGAAAAAATATTAGTTTCATTTAAATGAATACTCGCGAAAATCTTAAAACCCAGTTTCACCAATCAATGTTAAATAAGTAATATCGTGTTAAGGCGTTTCATGCTCTGTTATATGTATCGAGCGTCCCACCACGCACAAATGTCCGTTTTTAATGTCTTAACCAGCCACTAATATTAATTCCTGCTCTGGAGCTCCGTCTAATAACTAACAGAATGTTAATGGCATTGTCAAAACTCAATCGTCCAATCACAGCCCTGATTTCTTGTAACCATAGTAACGTCACCTGTTTTGTCAGTTTGGACTATTTCCATGTACCTACTTATTAATAAAGTGAATTAAAATTTCATTTCGAACTATGATTTTGCCTCCAGCTTTTTTATAACATTGCAAATAAAATTTTCTTTTTATCTCTTATAATTTGAACACAATTTATGCCTATATTTATAACATAATAATATATAACACAATTTATTGACAACCCAATTATGACAGGTTACACCTAGTAAATTGAAAAGAAAGCTTTTTGTGTGCCAAATGTATGCAACCAACGATATATAAAATTTGGTCGCATTACCTAACCAGTGACGTATCGAGGGATATATACGATCAAAGTATAAAGTGGTGCATCGTGGCAAAAGTGTCGTGTTAAACGCTATAGTTTCCACTTGTTCGTCTTATAACAAGAACGAATAATTTGGTAGTCGGTCATTTGACATGACGTTTAATAATGCGTTGTTAATTTGTCATCGTGGGACGTAAATATTTTAACAGACATTTATAATTTTGTAGGTTGGTTAGTAAATGCTGTGTTTAGATTAAACAAACATTGATTGGTGAAACTGGGTCTAAATCTCATAATGTGTACGAAGTCATGAGATAGATACTATAGATGTCTATATTGGTTCACTTCATACGTTTCACGAAGTCTAATTTAGATTTGTTTAAGAACGAAGTCGCGGATAGAAACTAGTATTACAATATTTTTCTTTCTTTCCAGATGAAACTATGGTGGTGGCTTACTTCAAGACAACTGCTGGTTTGAAAAGTAAGAGTTTTAAAATTACTCTATGTTTGATATTCTTAATAATGACAATATCAAAAAATTTATCTTAATTACTTATAATGTAGTAATAATAAATAAAATTATAAGTACCTTCCTTTTGTGTCATTAGTTGTTTGTTTGTTAATTTATATGAAATGAAATTTGTGCTTTTAATATCAAAATATTTAAAATCGTATCAGACACATCGCTCGGATATTATTTATACATAATAAAATGGATAATATTAGAAAAATATAGTTTTAAATTAAAAAAAATAATGTAGACATACAAAAAGAAAATAGGTAATTACTAATTATATAGAGTGGCACCGGAGGTTCTAGGAAAACTACGAAACCTGCTTATATGTATATTATAATAAGAATTACATATTAAAACTCATAACCTACACCTAAGACTACATGATAGACCCGATGTTAGGATAGCAATACCATTCCATAGCTTGTGTGGTATCAGGAGTCTTCTGGTTCACACGCTTGGTGTTCGTTCCGCGGAGTCAGCGGCGTCACTCGTTATATATTTTATACATACAACGATGATTCCCCGGCGATGTTCATTTATTTTTAACATGTTTCTTAACCCACGTATTTTTTATGTCATAAACAAGAGATAGTCCATTAAGTTTTATTTGTTAATGTTATTTTTTCAGCTGATGAAGAGGCATACGAGTTTTTGAGGACCTGCAGAGGAGCGAGGGGTGTTAAGTTCACGGTCAAACTGCTTAAGAAATTAACGGGAACGGCGAGTAAGTATATATATAAAACTACTATATTTGTCCGCGACTTCGTCTGCATTAGTTTAAGATTATAAATGAATAGCTGACCGGGCGAACTGTATTCCTCCTTAAAGACAGTATATAAATTTTAATTTATTTATTTATTTAATTTATTGGGAAACAAACAGTATTACAATTAATCAATGGAAATAATTCATACAAAAATACATAAACAAATTAAGTTTCCACCGATTACAAGTTCATTTGGACCAAAGAAGAATAAAATGTCTAAACACACATTGACCAAAATATAAAATAACGGATTAAAATTAAAATACAAAAATTTATGACATTGAGCAAAATAATAATATGATCAATGAAAATTAAGACAATTATTTGAAGAAAAAATATGAGATAAACATAAATTAATAAAAAAATAAATTAATTACAATTATGGCATTACTTATTTCTTGTTTTATTTTATTTTTTGTACACACTGTAAAATCTATATTGGAAAAAAAAATATAATATTTATCACAGGCACGGAAAATAAAAGTATTTTGAGCATATTTGGTTTTTGTGATAAGTAAATGAAAAAGGGACTGATGACGCGTATTAATTTTAGGACATCTTAAGCATATATTTTGTAACAGATAGGGTGAATGTACAAAATTTTTAAGTTTCTTAAATAAAAACAATTGATCTCTCCATGCGACGGTATTCTAAAGACGGAATGTGTGTGTGTGTTTGTATTTGATCAACTTATTTTATTTTTCATCGTATGTAAAGTATCCTATGTCCTTTCTATGTTCTAATCTATCTCTCTACCAATCTTCATCCAAACCCGTACAGCCGTTAGAGTTATAAATAGTGTAAATAACACGACTTTCTTTTATATATAAAATACGATGGAGATTTGAACCCGCTATTTTACATTGGCAAGCCGGACTAACAACTGAACTATTGTCACGACTTGATCGGTTCTACTAACCTGGTTTAATCATGACAAACAAACATACATGTAAAATTACTTAATATATAATTTTTTTTCAGATCTGAAGGTGTATGTACATCTCATTAAGATAATAACAGGAGAAGACGGTAAGATAATCATTATAGCAGATAAATAGAATTACTTTAAGACATAGTTTTGTTACACCACTTTCAAGAAATGTATTAAATGTTAATAGTGCGTGGAGTCACTCCGTAAGGTAGAAGTGAAACTTCGTAATATTGGAAAGAAAAAAGAAGTCGTAGAAACAGATTTTTATGGCATTTTTAGTGTGTAAGACAAACTTTATTAAAATAATTTACAAATCACTATTGACCCACCTTTACTCTCGCTCTGTCTCTTTCTATCCCCTCCACAGTGTTAAACGTTTAACGCAACCTTTTTTGAACTCGCATAAGTTTAACTTCAAAAACATTTTAAATTTAAATTTGTTTTAATGAAACATTTGTTTTCATATAAATTGGTATATAATTTCAGACATTAATATAAGTAAGTTATCATTATCGTATCATATATGTTTATCTTAAACAATTCTTTCAGATGCTGTACAGGGTCTAAAGGTGATACAAAAGTTGACTGGACATTATGATATAGACGGCATTATTGAAATACTACAGAGAATATCCGGGCGAATAAGTAAGTGTAAAATTATATACAGGGTGACTGGTGAATTACTATCAATATTTAAGGAGCATACTCGGTACATGATTCTCATTCGAATTATGTAAAAAAAATAGGCACTTAATTTTTGACCAAATTTCCGTATAAATAAATAAAGTGTGTACACGTTCCAAGTGTTCTAAGTGTGGACGTGTGCGGCGGCGTGCTGATACAACAACACGCCGCCGCCGCGTCTGTGTGAGTGTGTGTGTATACCTAATCTGTAGGGTGTTCATACGATGCGTAATTAATTACATAACTTTTGGTTAACTTTACTTAGAAGTTTATTAATATTTATGTTATATTAATTTTTATTTTGTCATATATGATCGTCAAATATCACGTCCTCAAGTATCGATAGTAATTCACCAGTCACCCTGTATATGTATACTAGCTGACCCGGCAAATTTGTTTTGCCATATAAAAATAGGGGTTGGTGATAACAAAGTAAAAATTTTGGGTTGTATGTATTTTTTAATGCTGCATTACAAAAAAATAAATAAAATAAGGGTGAACAACCTTTATGACTTAGGGGTATGAAAAATAGATATCAGCCAATTCTCAAAGCTACTCAATATGTTCACATTTCATCAAAATCAGTCCAGCCGTTTCAGAATTCTCTGTCTAACACCGCGACACGAGAATTTCATATATAAGATATATTTGTACTGTCTGTTTGTTACGTCTAAACATTGAAAGGAATGTGACTATTTTGGTAAGACTCTAACTAGCATGTAGCTGATTTGATGAGAAAATATGAGATCTAAGACTTTTGTAAATATTCATTTAAATAAAACTAATATTTTCGTATACTTATCGTTATTATTTAAACTACATACGACAACGTTTCAGTTACTTTACAACCGTGATTATTAAGACGAGATGTGAATGATGAGCCACATATTAAAAATAGTAAAATACGCATAGTATTACGAGAATTATTATTTTTATTTAATGCCGAGGAATGACAGGCTAATTTTATTTCAGAAATTTAGTTTGTTTTTAAAAATACAATATTTATAAAGCTACTTTGTCATGATGGATTTTAAATTGTATGTTGTTGATGTATTAGTGACTTTTAGACTTAAGTATCTAGCTAGTGGATACTTAAAATATTGTATTTTAACAATTCTTAATAAAATATATTTTATATATATAAACTACTAGCTTTCCGCCCGCAGCTTCGCCCGCGTGGCGTTTGGTTATTTCGTGTTTCAAAGAGAACCTTTCAAAAGTCTGGGATAAAAACTATCTTTCTCTATCTAAAAACTATCCTATGTTCTTTCTCAAGGTCAACTCTATCTCTGTACCAAATTTCATTAAAATCAGTTCAGTGGTTTAGGCGTAAAAGCGTAACAGACAGACAGACAGAATTACTTTCGCATTTATAATATTAGTAGGGATATAAACTATCGAAAAACTATTCAAATGTTAATAAAAATATAATCTTTATATTGAATTTAACTAAACATGATTTTCTATCAGATTTGTTCGCAAAACAATAAACATTTTTTCATATTATTAATTTAAAATGCTTTTTTATACTGTACTATTTGTGATAAAACTTTTTCTTTGATAACATTTTATTTATTATTTCAGGCATGTCAGATCTCATCGAATTTTACGAACACAATGGAGATCATACGACAGGTTCTAAATATATATACTTTTATCCTTATAAAGAGTGCATTTTAAACTTCATACTGATAGTTTAATAGTATTTGAAACATAAATGTTACTTATATGAAAGAGTAAGCAACAGTCACGCAAGTGTCAAACTATTTTACTTGTAATTATTGATTCATAAATTTCAGATAATCTTTTTCTCGCGGCTCTACTTATATAAGAGATAAATCTTCAATAAATATTACTCTCAAAACTCTTGCCTATAACTATAGTAAATTTCATTAAAATCGATACAGCAGTCAAAAAACACTATTTAATTTCTTATTTCAATAATGTACTTATATATATGTACATACTAGCTGACCTGGCAAACGTTGTTTTATATTAATTTAATATAATCAATTAGGAGTTAGTATTAAAAATGTACAAAAATTGGGTTGTACGTACTTTTAATGCCATAAAATTTCGTCCTTGTTGGGGTGAACAACCCTTATCACTTAGGGGTATGAAAAATAGATAGCAGCCGATTCTCAGACCTACTGAATACGTAAATAACTAACATTGTGGCGTGGAAATATTATATAATATATTATAAATCTATAGGTTTGGAGGGCATCAGTCATCAAATATACAAACTGACTGGAGACGCTGGTCCCAAAGAGTTCCCGGGAGTGTTCGAAGCCTTGAAATCAGAAGTTGGTAAGGCTTTATATATTATAAAAGAAAATAATTTTGGAAACTTCCTTTTCACTACAATGACTGAATCTAGTTAAGTTGACATTGTGCTTGTGTACAGTAAAAGCAGTATTTTTATGATATTCAGCACCAACTGTGGCAAAGAATTTATTGAAGTGTTCACATATTTCAGTGCCATCCGTAATTATACCTGAGCTAGTCATTAATTTACGAGAAACACATTTTAATTTTAAAAAAAAACGTTCGCCGGCCGATAGACAATTTATTAATATTCAAGACTAATTAGTTCAGAGTTTCTTCTCTTAACAATAGTTGAGAACAAAAAGTGTCAGATTGTCAGTAACGGCGCTCTTTATATAGGTGGCTTGAGAGTTGATAGTTTAATAATTGATTATTACATATATATACATGTATAGATGATATTAATATTTTGGAATATTTAATATTAATCCTATTTAATTTTCAACAGATTGGACCGCTACATTCAACGTGCTGATCACTGTAATGAGGTGCAATGGTGAGAAATATATTAATTATTAAAAAATAGTGTATGAAGTCGCTTTGACTATAGTAGTAATCTTTCTCCGCTATAGAAATGGATACTTCGTAATGTTTGAATGAAAACAGGAAGGTATAGGAATTGATTTTGAAGGAATTCTTAATGTTTCTTTAAGAAAAACTCTTTAAGACAAACTTCATTAACATTACTCACAAGTCACTATTGATCGCATGCGTTCTAGCGACACGCATTAACTCTCACTTTGTCTCTTTTTATATCCTCCCCAAGAGCGTTAGACGTTTAACGTAACCTCCAGGAAGTCGCATAAAAAGTTGCACTTAAGAAACGCACAAATATGAAAAACTTAGTCATTTAAACAAATGTTCGAAAAAAAACTTAGATATTATATATTTGCGGCATACGTTCAAGCGACACGCACTACCTCTAGTTCTGTCTCGTTTTACCTTTGAAACGTTAAACGTTTAACGCTACCTAGTTGGAAGTTGCATAAGAAGTTTCACTTCAATAATAATAATGTTTATTTAAAACAACTATTATGTAGAAAATATATTGAAATAAATAAAATTTTTAAAGGCGGGAATGTTGTATATATGAATAAAAATACAAAACACTTAGATACAAAAATATTTTATGATTTTGTCGTCAGTTTAATATGCACATCTCGTAACTCGACAAAAGTTTAGAATATTTGTAATAAAAAGCAATTAAATATTAAGTAATATCTATATTAGAATTATTTTCTTTAAAAAAAAGAGTTACTATTGATTTATATTTATAAATATTTCAGTTAGTAGATAAGTATCATAATATTAATAATATTTACGGTTTATTTATTTTTAACATTTTTATATATTTATGTACATATCAATGTATGTCTAATATATACATTAATTTTCTATTATTATAATTTTGTTTGTATTCTTATATATTTTTCTCTTTTTATGTCTCCTCTCTATTTATTGCACCTACTCCACATTTCTCATTTCTTATATCAAAAGGCTTTGCATCACATTCTTTTATAATTATAACTATTAATTTTGGTACATAAATAAATATATCATTATTTTACCTATTACTTCAATATATGTATGAAAATTATAAGTATTTCTGTATTTTAATGTTTGTTTGACAGATATAAGTGAGGCTATCGTTGAATTGAAGAAGTTGGTCGGCGTACAGACGTTCCCAGAGGCAATAGATGCCATGAAACTAGCTACTGAACAGATACGTGAGTAATATACTGTTTATATGAAGAAGAAGTGGTGGCCTAGTGGTTAAAGGTCCGCCTATCATTCACGAGGGCGCGGGTTCGACCCTGGCAAATACCAATGTGATGTTCCGAGTCATATGTACTTTATGAGAGTATTTAGACGTCACTGATTAATGCATTCCCAAAGAGGGTTGATGTCAGGCAGGCGGCCGGTCGTAAAAAAATTAGCCAACACTATTCACAACATGTAAGACAGACCCTGGCTAGAGCTGGGAAATTGACAGGAAGAAAAAGAGTAATATAAATTTCCAATAAAAAATATCTTTACAAAAATTACCAAGTCTTAGTAGATGATAATGTATGTAAATTTTGTGAAGATTTTTCTGTTAAATTAAAATATATGTAAAAAAAAATATGTATCAGATTTCAGATACGCGTTGGAATCATTCCTGGAGGAAACAGGAAGAGTTAGTAAGTTATACAATCAGTTGTATATTATATTATTATATACACAATATATATAATATGCATGTTTATTTACAGATCTGAAAGTCGTGATCAAGACCCTGTATCAACTGACGGGAAAAACTGATTTGATATCTGTTTTGAGGGAACTACAGAGACTGTACAGAATTAATAGTGAGTTAATATTGTTCATTAAAATACATAATATACAGGGTGACTGGTGAATTACTATCAATATTTAAGGAGAATACTCGGTACATGATTCTCATTCGAATTATGTAAAAAAAATAGGCACTTAATTTTTGACAAAATTTCCGTATAAATAAGTAAAGTGTTGACACGTTCCAAGTGTTCAAGTGTGGACGCGTGCGGCGGCGTGCTGATACAACACTACGTCACGACACGCGTCTGTGTGAGTGTGAGTGTATACCTAATCTGTAGGGTGCTCATACGATGCGTAATTAATTACATAACTTTTGGTTAACTTTACTTAGAAGTTTATTAATATTTATGTTATATTAATTTTTATTTTGTCATATATGATCGTCCAATATCACGTCCTCAAGTATCGATAGTAGTTCACCAGTCACCCTGTATATGTAAGATAAGATTTTAATAATTATAGCCTTACTATTAAATGTTTATACCTTCTAATATATCTATTAAAACGTGTTCAATGTTCATATATATATTTCTTTAGCTATATGAGTCTTGCCTCGATAGCTCAATTTTTAATATGCCCGAAATTACTGTCCTAGAAAACGCAGGTTCTAATCCAGATATGAAATTTATATATGTATATTTATTCTGTAACTTTGTTACTTATTTTTTTTTATATATTCAATGATTTTTTATATATTTTCAAAATATATTAATTTTTGAATGATATTTAATTTGGTCATATTAATTTTGACTGTGGCTTACAATGCAATTAACAATTTTGTATATAATTGAAAAAAAATAAGCTTACAGATCTCAAAATCCTTTATTCTTATAAAAGAGTGATAGTTTAATTAATTTTTATTTTATTTCAGATATAATAAAAGTGTTCCAGACAGTTAATCGTATTTCCAAGAAGAGGGATCCTCTTGTAGTTTTGAGTAACCTAGTGGACATCACGGCAGCTGCTAACTTGAGTGATTGTAGTTCTGTTTTCACAGGACTGACTTTCAAACAGAGTAAGAGAAATGGAGACTTAGATAATATTTAACACAAATAATTGGGATAAATTTAATATATTTCAATGAAACTATTATTTTTCGGATCAACAACGCGACATTATTTTGACCGTGATCACGGTTGCTGAAAAGTAGTAAAACGTCGGGAGTGTGTATTTTTTATCACAAATTCGCGTATATCCGAAAAATATTAGTTTAATTTAAATGAATACTCTCGAAAATCTTAGATATCATTATATTCAATATAATTCTAAATTTAGTTGAAACTTTTATTATAGGAAACATTTAGCAGTTACACTATGGTAGTGTCAATTAAGTTATGATTTATAAGACTTTCGCGAGTATTCATTTAAATGAAACTAATATTTTCGGATTATTATCAAATCATGGTTGTAAAGTAACCGAAACGTAATATGTAATTAAAATAAAAAACGCGTAGTATACGAAAATATTAGTTTCATTTAAAATCTTATTTGATGGTATAACTATTTGATCTCTTTTCTATAACAAAAGCTATTCACATAGTATCAAAATGGCTAACTATAGATGTTTTCAATGATTTTCCAGTGACCGCTCTGGAGGTGATAGAAAAGATTCAATTAGAGACAGGCTGTACTGACCTCGTGGACTTCTTGAAAGGGATGCTTTCAGTCACTGGAAACAGAGGTATTATGATATACATACATTATTTTACTTATAAAAGGCAAACGAACAGACGGCCTACTTGATGGGAGATAATCACCATTATCTATGGACAAGCTACATAAGAGTTGTGAATGCGTTGCCAATCTTAATTGTGGGAGAGAGAGAGAGGGAAAAGAGAAAGAGCAACTGTCTCTCTCACTCATCATACAAAACGCATCCATTAAAGACTACTTCACGCCGATCTTCTGTGAGAGGGTGGTACTTACGGTCGAGACAGAACATGTTCGAGATGTAGTAACTTGACTACAGATAGGATCTACCACATACTGTATAATTCGATGGATAGATATAATAATAAAAGCTTATTATTAGATATACATAAACGTGGTAGATGTACTACAGTAACATTTTGTACGTCTGTTTGTTTACGATTTATCTCTGAAACGCCTGGATCGATTTTGACGGGACTTCCTTTGGGTTATAGCTGGTAAAATAAGGAGTGACTTTGGCTATAAAACTTTCATTTTAGTAACATAAGTAGTTTTCAAATACCTATTTGTTAGAGATTTTTTAAATAAATTTTAAATGTTTTTTAATATAATGTTGTATATTTCGTAATTATTCTATTTATTTCAATATATTTTCAGGTCTCCTGAAATCCTGGCAAGTGATTGTGACTGTGACGGAAAAGAACGGTACTGTTTGGATTTATCTTAAATTAAATAACTGATACTAATTCTATTGAAAAAAAAAAATAGAAAATGATAACTATTAATTAGTTTTCTGATAGTCAAATTAGTTTCAATAAAATATATATACATATACTAAGTCAGTGGTGTCCTAGTGGTTAAAAGGCTCGCCTTTCATGCATGAGGGCGCGGGTTCGATCCTGGCAAGTACCAATGTGATGTTCCCGAGTCATATGTACTTTATAAGAGTATTGAGACATCACTGAATAATGCACTCCCAAAGAGGGTTGATGTCAGGCAGGCGGCCGGTCATAAAAACAATTAGCCAAAACTATTCACACCTCTAAGGGCAGATTCTGGCTAAAGCCGGGAAATTGCTAGGTAGAAGAAGATAAATACATATACTACTTCTACTATACAAAAAGTATATCTTGAAAAAGATCTTCTACAAACACACATAACTTATATATATTAATATATATTTTCAGATATATTTGTTCTTATAAGTACACTGAAGCAGTATACATCAGCCGACCTCATCACCATGTTACGCTTCCTACAACGGATCACAAACACCATCAATATCGTTCAAGCCGTCGACAAGATCAATGACTTACTGGAAGTCAAAGGTATCATATCATTATCATTATCATGTCATTAATATATAAATTTTCATTTAAAATGTTATTAAAATATGTGTTTATGGGAAATTTTTCGGAACCTGTGACTTTGAATGTCACGTCAGTCACTTTTCTATTCGAACTAGAGTGTTCTTAATTCTTATAATATCCTAGTAGTCATTAATAAAGCTTCTTTGTAGTATTTAGTTGTAGTTAAAATTTAACTTTTGAATGAAACTAAGGTTTTCTAATACTACGCGTTTTCTTTTATAACTAACTACAAACAAAAACACTTCCACCTCTTCTTCGTGGTTATGGCTGTAAAGTGTAAAGTAACCGAAACATCGGAATTATGTAGATATAAAAGAATAAAAATTGTGCGTGGAGTCACTCCGCGCTGAAAAAGTGAAACTTCGTAATGTTGGAATGAAAAACGGAATGTATAGAAATTGATTTTTAAGGAATTCTTAGTGTATCTTTAAGACAAAGTTTATCAACATTACTTAAAAATTACTATTGATTGTCCGCATGCGTTCGAGCAAAATGCATACCCTATCGCTCTGTTTCTTTTTATCTCCTCGCCAGGAGCGTTAAACATTTAACGCAACCTTGTTGCAAGTCGCCTATGAAGTTTCACTTCAAAAACGCGTAGTATGTGAAAAACTTAGTCATTCAAATGAGGGTTGGTTAAAATTTTTGATATTCTCTTTGGAATTATCTACCGAGAAAAACAGTTGCAAATTAAAGTTCTGATATAATAGTAATTTTTTATATTAATATAATTAATTTGTATTTTCCCTTTAAGGATTCTTTGAATGGATCGAGCTGCTTCATCACATTTCTGATACCGGTAAGAATTATAATTATGAAAAATATTTAAACATTAATTCAACCTAATTATTAAAATATTTAAATCTTTGATTACAGATGTGTTTGAGTTCTTGCAAGTCTTTACCAGCTTGAGTCCAAGATCGTGTAAGTATTTGGATAAGATTTTTGTTTGTTGTCAACTTTTTTATAAGGAGCACTCGTAAGAACCGATATGAGGGACCATCTCAAGAACTGTCTGGTGTATATACTTCATCTCACCAGCTCCAAGGTTTAGTCACATAGTTTCCATCTTAGTGAAATTGAAAGGAAAAATTTATTCCTGCCACATTTTATCTATACTCAATTTCCTCTCCTTTTTCAATACTCTATGCCAAATGAGCCATATTTTAAAGAAAATTCTCTGTAGATTCTCCTGATGCTATAGGAATGGAAAATAAATTATTTTTAGATTGATGTAGTCCTCAAATTCGTAAATAAAGCTAAGGCCTAAGGCCTTTATCATAACTTTTTAGTTAGAATATCCTTTTATTTCATTACAGTGTTTTTGGGAATAAATTTTTAGGTATTTACTGCTTTTTTTCGTGCCCTAACTATTATAATTTATTTAATATTTTTTCAGTATTGGAAGAAGCCATTGAAACAACGATGCACTATACCGATATATACGGTAAGTTAAAATATATATTAGATTAGAACAATACTTAAGAGAGGATTTAATATATGTATCTGAATATTTCTTTACTTATGTTTTAAAAATAATTATTAAATTTTTATTTCACAGAACCAATACAGGCTATCGAAGATTTAAAAACCGTTACGCAACAAGATGGTAAGAATTTTAAACACACAATACAAATGTTCAAAGAATTATTACTTCAAGTATAACTAAGAACCTTGCTAATATAAACACTTTTATTTTAGATATAATTAAAGCTATAAACTACATCAAGGCGAAGAAACCAAAGTCTATCGCCACAACAACAACAAAACAAGCACCGACAACGACAAACCAAGTGACGAGCGCTGAAACAACAGAGAAGCAAATTACAGAACACGAAAATGCTTCCGACACATCAGAACACTTGGATCATTCAAAAGAACAGACCACGAATGAAGAAAAGTCAGAACAAACTACGGAGCATCCAGAAGAAACAGAACACAGCATAGAAACCACAACTAAACCAGCAGAATTAACAACTGAAGCATCTCCTGAGACGACTACAGCACCAACCACAGAAGCAGCTTCAGAACCAGCATCCGAATCAACGACAGAATCAACTTCAGAAGCAGATTCACAGTCAGCTACGGAACCAACCACAGAAGCAACTTCAGAATCAAACAAAGAGGCAGGTTCAGAATCAACCACTGAGTCAACTTCAGAAGCTACCACAGAGTCAACTGCAGCACCAACTTCGGAAGCAGCTTCAGAATCAACTACAGAGGCAACTTCACAAGCTACCACAGAGTCAAGTACAGCATCAACTTCAGAAGCAGCTTCAGAACCAACTACAGAGGCAACTTCAGAATCAACTCCGGAACCAATCTCAGAGACAACCACAGAACCAACAGTAGTGCCAACCGAACAGTCAACTACAGAATTACCTTCAAGCCCTACCACAGAATCAAATACAGCACTGACTACTGACGAATTTGCGGAGCCTGCGATAGAAACCACAACAGAATCTAAAGTTGATTTAGAAACTACAACAGCAACTCCCGAACCAACAGAACCGGCCACAGAAAGCGGAACCAAAACAGAAACAGTAACCAACCAAAAAACCGAAATTACTTCTGGAAAAGATTCATCTGAAATCATTACTACAATTACTACCATCAGCACTACAACTACTACTACTAATACTACGCAGCCGTCAAATCCCGAAAACAATCAACAACCAGCTACTAGTAATGAGGAAAAACCAAATACTTCTGAACAAGAAAATAAAATACCAGTTACAAATGATACACAAACTATAGAAAAGAAAGATGATGAGCTTAGTAAACAAGAAGGGGACAATAAAACGCCTTCAGACACATCAAAGGATGGTGATGTCCAACCATCAACAAATGAACAAGCGACGCCGAGTGGCGAAGCTAGTGATACTAAACAATCAGATAAACCAGATAATGTTATAATCAATCAATCTGAACCTACAACAGAGGCTCCTGTTACTGAAGGCACAGCTTCAACTTCGGAAAAACCAATTGATATAAAAGACGAAATAACTACAGACAAGCAAAAAGAAAATTCACCTGAATCCGCTGATAAAGGTGACGATAAAAACCAACCGGAACCTACTGATAAACCAGTTCCTACTGATCAAGCTACTCCAGAAAATGATCAAAAGGTTTTGAATGAAAATGCAATCACGAATAGTACAGACTCACAAACACCTAAGCCGCTCGATCAAGAACAAACAACAGCCACTCCTGATACGACGGTATCACAAATTACAGAAGCGGGAACGACTGAGGATCCGAATAATGTTGCCAATGAAACTTCACAACCTTCATCCACTGGCGAGTTAAGTACAACAGAAGCAACAAGTACTTTGTCTAGTGTTACAGAAAACTCAGGCGCAACCCCTGAATCTAATAATAATAGTGAAAAATCACCTGACTCCGAAAATCAAACTCCATCTACCGATAAGCCTCAAGATGCAAATATAACCACTAAACCAAGCGATGATACATCCACTAAAAGTCCTGACGATTCGTCATCTTCTACGTCAACTTCATCATATAATCCAGAACAGAAAGAGGGTTCTAAAACAACAACTGAAAAACCAACAGAAGAAACGACAGGAGATAAAACTACGGAAATAACGCCAACAAGTGTTAGCACAGAGAGTTCTTATAAACCTGATAATGAAAACGAATCGACAACAACAGCCAACATAACAAATATAGCCCAAAATACAACTGAGAGCCCGAATAATGAGGAAAAATCACCAAGTGAGAAAGAATCAGTACCAAGTACCACCGAAAATAACGCAGACAATACCTCAGAGACTACATCGAGCAACACAACTGACAAAACACCGAATGATGGCAGCTCTAGTCCCAAAGTCAATTCTACGGAACCAAAAGACAAACCCGCAGACCCTGAAACAAAAGACAAAGTGCAATCTTCGGAATCTCAGTCAACAAATGTTCCACCCAGCTTAAAACCAACTGACGCCCCAACATCTGGACCACAAGATCTTTCAACTGACCCACAAGGTTAGTGAATATTTCTTTTAAACTTTAATTCAGAGTTCCCCAAACTGTTTCGCTGAAATTGACCCCTTGCTAGTCATAGACTCCTCGAGGTCAGTACAGACCACTTTGGGAATCACTGGTTTAAGTAATACACGATCATTATCTCTTCAAGATAGATGTTTATATTGAAATAGCACTAAAAACATTTTCAAGTAAAAATAGTTTAAATTATTCTATTTCTTTTAAATGAAACTAAGATTTTTCCATGATCACGGTTGCTGTAAAGCAGCCGAAACGTCGGGAGTATGTAGTTTTATTACAGAGTTAAAACCGCGTAGTAAATATTAGTTTCATTTAAATAAATACACGAAAAAATCTTAGATCTCATTATTCTATTTCCTCCCTTCAGCTCTCCAAGTATCCATGAATCTGAAACTTCTTATACTACCGAAGGGACCAAAGAACACCAAAAACTGTTACTGCGCCTGCGAGGGTCAAGAACCGCCGAAATTGGTGCCAATGCGACAACTTCCAGTCGGCATAACTAGTATTTATAAGAATTAACAGTAGACCGTATGATCCACAAACATTCTGTAGAGTTATTTCATCATATATGTACATACATATCTCTCTTTTAATGCTCTGTGTTGTAACAAGTGTATACTGCTTAAATAAACTGTACTATCTAAATAATTCGTTTCACCAAATATTTCTTAATGTACACAAAAATATATTTCATAGTTTAACAAAATTTCTATATAATACCATGCAAATTCAAATTTTGTTTTCAATTTACCTATATTTAAATATTTAAGTTTATGGCACTCCTTAATTCCTTTTAGAGAAAATATTATTATAATTAGAATAAATTATCAAGCAAAAATTTATTATATTTATATAACATTTCAAAATGATATATGTATTTGATCAAACGAAATGATTTTAAACTGAGTATATTAATGTAATGAGTTTGGGTTGTTCATAACACATTATTTTGAAGTCGGTTAATAAAAGAATCTATGAGTTAAATACTACAAATTTCACATATTAGTACAGAATTTGAATAGACTTTCACTGGCAAATATCTCATGTTATAAACTAGCTTTTTGTCAATTTTATTTAAGTTTTTAATATAATACACAAAAATAATTTCAAATTTAATAAAAACCAACAAATGTTTATTAAACCGTATTTATTTCACATCAAAAACAAAACAGAAGTCATTTCTTACAATAGGTTCTATGACTAGTGATACAAGACAAAGACTTGTACAAACATTATGCAAAAATTATAACTCCCATACAAAAACACGGACAGAACCGGATAATTATCATGTATTCAAAATCTCCTATATAACTCTCAGTGGAAAAATTTGTGCATTTTTCTTGCAATTTCAAATCCAAAATTATTTTATTTCCTAAAATTTTAATCCTATAATACTGTATGAGATTATAGTATGAACAAAAAATAATGAGAATGTCATAAAATAAAAAAGAAATTAATTTAATTACTTATAATGAAAAATATAAAAATAAATACAATTATATGGACAACCAAACTTAAATTATTCTTTTGTCAGAAATTATATATAAGAATGACAGATTCTTGTATATATATATATATGTTATAGTATATATGTATATGTTAATTAGTTTCCATATATTATATCTTCCTTAACAATATTCAAGTTTCAATAAAATTAAAAAACCTGTATTAAACTATCTTCTATAAATCTTCTTTGTAATCTTCTTTATATTATTCTGTCATTGTGAGCACCCTTGGTTAAGTGAATATTTACGTTCCGTCTTTGGCAAATAGTATTAACAAAATAATTATATATATAGAAAATCCATTTAAAAACTCAATTTACTTGAAGGCTTGTACGATAATGAGCAAACAAGATGTTCATGAATAAATGCAGCGTAGATTTAAGAGAAAACAACACTGGAGATAGAAAAAGCGGTTTAAAAACTTCTGAACGAGTGAGAGGGACAACAGATGTGTGAAAGAGACAGCGATAGTGTCCGTGTGCGCGTGTTAAGTACGATACACCCGTCCCTCTCTAGCGTTCATTGTGCGAGAGGGACGGCCTATATATACATATATAATATATTTTTGGTTACGCATAAAAGTACTTCTTCATCTGTCTGCCGATCTTCGTCATGTTGGAGCAGAGCTCGCGGTCCCTGAAAATAAAAATAATATTATAAATATAGGATTCTTACAAAAACACTAAAAAAAGATAGTTTTCTTATAAAGCCAGTACTTTTAAATAACTTAACTAGAAAAAACTTATTATTATCTTAAACCAAAACATCTTCAAAAAGTTTTATTCAGTTTACAAACACACAAGTCGTTTCAACAAATACTTTAGGGAGTTCAAAGGGACGATTCAAATTAAATGTGTATTGTCTAATATATATATTTTGTTCTAGCATATCATTGTCGAACTACATCCCCTCTCTACATGACCTACTCTTTATGAATTAATACAATTACTTTAATATTTTAATAGTATTTTTATCATCTGTTCCCTCCTCTTCCCTTACCCTCCCTCCTCTACCTGACCTACTCCTATTATTAATTTATTTATTTGGGAAACAAACAATTATTTAAAAACACTAATATAAAATAAAAATCACAAATCAATCAAGTTTCCACTTAAAGCCAATACACAAAAACAAAAAACAAATTAAATTCAAATTAAAACAAAAACTGCAAATACATTGTCACTTTAGGTAAAAGAGTTAAAAACATTTAGCATTTAATATATAACGAACTGCTCCTTTATAAACAATAGGTACTTTTTACTACTTTTACTTAATCAATATACATATATCTTTATGTATATAATTCTTCTGTGAGTGTGTATGTCACTGAACTTCTCTCAAACGACTGGACCGATTTTGGTGATTTTTTTTGTGTGTGTTCAAGGGGATCTGGGAATGGTTTAGATTCACAATTTTGTCCGCGGGATAATGTTTTTTTAATTAATTTTTAATTTATTAGTAGTTGTTGATACAAACGTTTCTTTTTGACATTAGATTTGACAACTAACTAATATGTCAACCATTCTGTCGCACTTCGAAACACAGAGATTTATGGCTTTAATAGATAAACTCTAAACTTATAAATAAAAAAACGTAACAGATATTTCTTGATTATAGGGCGATACGAAGTTCGCCGGGTCTTCTAGTATATATATTTATATCCCCTGTTCTATTCCCACATTGTTCATCCCCCCTTACCTCAGATCCCCCCAGCCCCCGTTCCCTTTAATCAGCTTCTTGTTATGTTTCGCGCCGCCCGAGGTCACGGTGGCCGCGACCCGCGCGGGGTACATCTGAGGTCGCGCCTCCAACAACAGCTTCTGGACCTTCCCTATCACGACCGACGCGTTGCAGTTGGACTTCTTGTGGTGGATGCCGCTGGAAATTATAGTATAATATTATATTATAGGCCAGTGCAAATGCCTCTAAAAATGATGAAAAGTAAAAATAAATTGTAGTAGAATGAGACCCATTAGAAAAGGATAATTAATTAATTGTAATAATATTCCCCATATTATTACAATTAAGGGAAAAATAATTTACGGGCGATCTGAGGTCGGGAAGGGTACGGGCGTGGGTATTTAAGGGTAAAAACTGGGTTTTCTCGATTTCCGGCAAAACTAAAAATCCCACGGAAAAATGTTATATGGCAAAGTTGTAGGTAATAAAAAAATCTAAAACTTTTGTACTAATATTTTTTTCACATAACCTGAAAATTTATGCGATAAATTCGAAAAACCAAGTTTTTGGTTTCTTATTTTTATCTCTTATAAAAAACAATTTTTTTTTCACGAAATTTGGTGAAAACTTTTTTTTTGATGTTACAAATGCACTGTAATTTATTGGATTAGAAATTTTTATTTTTTCACCTCATTTTGAATAAATACCTAAAATTCAGCCTCATTTTCAATCGAAAAATCACCCGTCAAAATATCAGCGTTTTTCAAAAATTTTGTGTGTTTTCTGTTCGTTGAAATCTCTATTTTCCGATGGTGAAGAAATAAATATAAGTTTCTTATTTACAGTACCATTTTTGGGATAAAATAATCATGTCTCTTTTAATGAAATGACACTCGACATCGGTTTGAAAATGCTCTTTCTAATTTATTTTTAATAGTTGTGTACTCTGGAAGTTCTGCAGATAGTCCCTCTTTTAGGTAATTTACGGAAAATTGACATTAAGCTGCTATAACTATTAAAAATAAATTGAAACAGCATTTTGCAAACGATATCGAGTGTCATTTCATTAAAAGGGACATGAATATTTTATCCAAAAATTGTGCTGCAAGTAATATACGTTACATTATGTTGACCACATTGTATGTATTAGTCTGGTTTATATTTTTATTTGTTTCCAAATTTGCAAACCTCTTAATTGATATTTTACTGGGAATACCTAGATTGCATTGTAAGTCTTTTAATGTTGCTTCCGTGGTCAGTATTCGTTAGTGTTTATCCGTGAGTTCATATTGTTTATACTGTAATTTCTTCAGAAGAGGGAGATTTGTGTCAATGATCTTTTTTCATTTAATAGATTAAAACTATACCAAACTATTACATATTGTTTTACGAGTTTGGATGAAATTGATCACTTGAGTGTTACGTAACGTTATGAGAAGGGGGGGGGGGGGAGCTACAGAAAAACGATACTGTGCGTTACGAGGGTGGAAGGGGAGTCAAAAATCTTCGAAAATTGCGTTACGTAATATTTGAACGCTTCCATTATACTACACGGATCACATGTCGTCTAGTGTCGTACGACAATTGCTACAAAGTAACCGAAATGTCATAACGATCGAAAAAAAATATTAATATTAAAAAATTATAAATAATCTGTCTGTTTACCCACCACTCGCCTATATGGAAGACTCGCGGGCCCTTGCACAAGATGACCTTGAACTTGTCCTTCCCTTTCCGGTTCTGTGAGAGGTGGAGCAAGGAGTAGTCCCAGTTGTAATCATCGTAATCACAAAACTGATGATGAAGGGACACTATGTCTTCAAACACGCTCCTGTTAAACGCGAAGCCCATGTTGTGCATGCTGGAATGCCATGGCGTTATTTCCACCTGAAAAATGGATTTTTCCATCGATATTATACCCATCATACTGTTTCCATATATATCCATTGAAATAAATGCTTTGATATCTTTATGGCGATAAGAAATCTTTTACTTCGTAAAACGGATATACAATTGTTGTTTTGAAATGTCTATTATGAGGTAAAAACACTTTAAATTTATTTAGATAATGATTTAATTCATGTTTATTATAGATTGCGTTAAAGTTAAAAAATGGTAACGCATGCATGAGTGATGATGCATGCATGCATGCACTGGTGATACATACATATTAATTCTTAAACTTAATGTAGCTTGGTCTTTATTAATAATGATCTGCATTTATTATGTGTCTGTCCCTTAAGACGAGTTTCAATAAATAGCAAATTTTTCTTATAAAAACTTCGCACTTCTAGTATCGACGTAATCATATAAATAATACTTCAAATTTCTTGTATTTAATGAAAATCATTATAAGGGCATGGACAATCAATTGCTAATTAAAAAAACATCTATAATAGGTAAAAAATATGTTTCATCCAAAAAGGATTGGTTGTAGATGAGTATTATAAATCAAATTGTTTGAGAAGATACATAAAAAACATAAATTACTATAAGTATTTTTTTTCTGCAATTCTATATTATATTCCTATTCCTGTTTATTTTTGGGAGTCAAACAAAACTAGTTTTGAAGCTGAAAAAAATAGACTGCTATCAAATTCAAACAGCCTTGTACAACTTAGGCCCAAAACAAGCTTAACTTAATAAAATAACTAAGAAAATACTTACAATATATGTATATAAAAACATCGAATAAAAATAATATAAGACACTATAGCCCAAATTACAAAGCGACTGAAACTAATCATTTCAGGTGATGCAGATTCAAATCCAGCTGTATTTTCTATTTAATTTCTATTACAATATTGATTAATATTACATATAACAATAGTTAAATACATTAATATATTGAATATTATTAAAACATGCAATAAACTAGTTTTAAGCTGAGCCCATGCACAAGCAAAACCAAAGATTCTAAAATGGCGAGCAGATATAATTTAATGTGGAACATCTTTGAAATTAAACAATATTCATTAACTAAATATTCTTTAAAAGCTAAAAATTCTTTATAATAAAAATCATAAGCATTGAAAGCGGTATAAAAATTGGTTGACCTTTTGGTCAAAAAAAAAATATATGCGACCCATGAAATAGTAATGCGCTAATCTTGAATGGATAATAATAAAGCGCTTATCCCTTTATACCAAATAAAAAAGCGCTAATTGATCAATCGAAAATAATAAATCAATAATCCAACATAACTTATATTAAACGCTATTCCGTCAACGGGAAATAATGAAGCGCTAATCCTTCATCGGAAAATAGCTAAACGCTAATCCATGAGCAAATACAGAAGCGTTAATCCCTAAATCCTAATCCATGAGCAAATACAGAAGCGCTAATCCCTAAATCCTAATCCATGAGCTAATACAGAAGCGCTAATCCCTAAATCCCCGGCGAGGCGTTCCATATTCAAATACCTTCTGCGTGCTCCCGTATAGGTTGGGATACACTTGGTAGTTCCAGTTCTCGTGGCGCCGCCTCCTCTCCTCGCTCACGGCCCTCACCTGCTGTATGTAACTCAGCGCTATTTGCTTCTTTCTCTGTGCGCACATTTCATATAATGCGTTTATGTACATAGACGCTAACAACAACGACAAAAAAAATAATAACATCGGCCGGCCGTGCGTTGACATATATTAGTGTGTGCATGTGGAAGCGTTAATTTGTCTGAATGATAAATGTATGAGTACGTATACATATTTTATGATTGTTTCTTTATTTTTATCTATTTGGTCGTATTTGGTCGTGTTTGGTGTAGATTTGGTCGGATTTGAGTTACGAGCTTACCTTGTCCGCGGTGCTGTGATACTGGTAGGTTTTGAGGTATGTTCCCAAGCAGAGTATTTCACAATGCGGACAGGCCTTGTCCCTGGTCGCGATAAGAAGATGTATCATGTGGATGAAGTCTTCCGCTACGTAATGGTCTTCCTCGAGAAATACAACCATACCTGACGGAAGACATGACCTTAGAAGACTTCGATATATGTACTGCTAGGGTAATAGAGGATTATTTTCTGGCTTTAGAAAGGAAACCTCATAAATACTATAAAAGTGAAGGTAGTTAGTAATAAAAGCCATTTATTAGTTAGCTTTTGCACGAAAATGTTCTCGTTGTACTTTCGTGCTAATCACAGTGTGTAGTTTTCAGTGTACAAGTATTTATTTATTAATTTCTGTGACTATGGCTGTTTGTGATAACGAATATTGATTTCGCAAATTTTTATTCTTGATTTTAAATTTAAATTCATAACTGAGCAAGAAATAATTGTAATTTCTATCACTCAATTGTTATTTTATTAATTAAATTCGGTTTTTTACCATAAAAGTATTATATGTATTGCGTGGTATATGATAGCTACTGGCTCTATGTGAGAGGACGTGTGTAATGGTCTATTTCTATGTTCTTAATTTTAATGTTGAATTCATAAATTGGCAAGAATTAATTGTAGTTTATGTCACACAATTGTTATTTTTTGTAATAAAAATAGGCTTTTAATGTAAGTATTAATTGTATTGCAGTGCATAATAGCTACTGGCTTTAGGTGAGAGTATATGTGTAATGCTCTATTTCTATATACAGTACCTGTGTGGCTCGCTGTACACTGCAACTGATTGAATATCCTATTCGCTTTCCACCACCAGTGGTGTTTGGTCTGCGTGTATTTCGCCTCGCGGTAATGTCCGTGTAGATCCGGGTGCAGGGCGTTGTTGCATTTCAGTTTTATTGCTCTAATATCAAGTAATTATATTAGAATTTATTTATTCTAAAGTATGAATATTTGGATAACTATTTGCAGGCAAAAAACATACAAGGCAGTTTAGTTTAAATGGTGAATAAAATGACAAAAATATAGCGTTTTTTGCTGGTCCTAGGCCATCTTCTACTCGGCAATTTCCCAGCTTTAGCCAGGGTCTGCCTTACATGATGTAATAGTTTTGGCTTTTTTACGACCGGCCGCCTGCCTGACATCAACCCTCTTTGGGAATGGATTAATCAGTGATGTCTAAATATTCTTATAAAGTACATATGACTCGGGAACATCACTTGTACTTGCCAGGATCGAACCCGCGCCCTCATGCATGAGAGGCGGGTCTTTTAACCACTAGGCCACCACTACTGTTCCTAGGCCATAATTAGTGTAATACTCAACTGTTGTAACTTCGCGTCCCGAGGACAGTCGTTGGGGTCTACTCCGGGGAACTCGTTGGGATGTGTTTGTATTGAATGCGGATAAAATATCTGCATCACCTGTCAGAATAAACACAAGTTAATTAGTTATATATGTACTAAAGTGTGAGAATTTTATTATGATCTATGATACTAGTGTTTGGCCGCGAGTTCGTTTGCATTACACATAAATTTGTACTCTAAGAATACTAACATGTTTTTTAAGTTTATCACACTATAATCAGTTATATTGTAACTTTTTAATTATCATTAATCCTCTTCTCTCACTTTAAAAACTTTTAAATGTACAAATAATCCATTTACAACAAAATTTTATTGCAATCAGTTCAGTCATGCTTGAGATTATCTCGTTCAAACAAATATAAACTATTCATTATTTTTAATCAATTTCAACCAGTATAAAAACTCTCAAAATTATCAACCAATTTTATTCATCCAGGTCATTGACCCTAACACTGTAAGGTGACTAAAGTTCATTGACCCCACCTTAGTGAAGTCAATACTCCTCACTAGATTGTTGATCTCCTCGTCGTAGTAATCGTGTGAGAAGATAAGCAGCGTCTTGTCTATATCTCGAGCTTGGGCCAGCGACACTATGAGATGTCTGAGGTAAGTTAATCTTGTGTGCACCTGAAATGATACAGAACTTAAAAATAAGTAATAATTTCAGATAACTAATTAAAAATACTTATTGAAAAATATTGAAATTGATAAAATTAGAATTGTTAGCAGTAATTCTAATTGTTTTTCTATGTACTTATTAATATACAGTTTACTGTACTGTTTTTTTTTAATATTTTCCAATAAGTTTTTTAATCGGGGACTTTTCAAAAGTTGCACTTCTACCAAGTGTGACTTGCGCGCACACACACACACAGATTTTTGGTGCCATCGTCGTGCATCTATAGACCTCTTGTATTGACTGCTGACAAAATAAAAATCAGCCAGAAAAGTGAAGATTAATGCAATTCCCAATACGATCTTTTGGTATATAAGATGACATCATACTAGCTTCTAGAGATCATAAAAATGACGTAATAAAACATCCAGATTTGTAAGACGCGAAACCAGTAAAAAGATAAATGATGTTTAAAACTTTGTACTTTCTTGTAATATTTCTTGTTAGTTATAGACTGAATGTGTTTCAGTTCAACCCAAAAGTTATTCCCAATAATATACAAATCACGAAAGAGATCTTATCTGAAAAACATACTTTTTTCATGCAAAAAGTTTAATTTGTCAGCTAGACATCGTTTGTCAAAAAAGAGTGTCAAATGTAAAATTCCATTTGGGTCTATTTAGATGAGAAAATATTTATTTAATACAATTTAGAAAACAATTTCAAAAATGTCCGATGAAGAATTAATAACTTTGGTGAGAAAATAATTTGATTTTGTTACGTGATATTTTCAACGGCAATCTCATGGTTCCAAAAAAAAATACAAGCCTTAGCCATTGTATATAAACAAGATGACTTGTATTAATACCACAATAAAAGAATATCTTATGTGTTTTAATATAATAGACACAAAATTAATTCCTAAAATATATAACCATTTAAAAACCGTTAATTATTCATGTTGAAAATGAAATGGAGTAGTTTTGTTTAACTTAAGATTCTCAATAGGATGTTTCATATCTTTATTTGGTAAAATCGTATTAAATTCGATTTTACCAAATAAAGATCAATTATAATGTCCATGTATTTTCTCAATAAGGACCGCATCATGATAACCATTTCATTCAAAAGATATCTCGTCTTAATGATCACGGTTGCTGAAAAGTAACCGAAACGTCGGGAGTATGTAGTTTAAACAAAACAAAAGTAGCGTAGTATAATCCGTAAAATATAAGTTTCATTTAAATGATTTCAAAACATCGTGATGAAACCTGGACTTATAGTTTCACAATTATAAGTTTGAAATCACCAACCCTTGAGCAAGCGTGGTGATTAATGCTCAAATCTTCTCCATGTGAGAAAGAGGCCTTGCTCAGCAGTGAGCTTCTTATAGGCTGATGATGATTTAAATGATTCTAATATTTCCAGGCCAAAAAGAAATCCGAAGCTCCCCCACGAAGGAGGAAGCCCAAGAAGATCATTATACCGCGACGTGTACCATCGATAGTGGTGCCACCTCGCGTACCTGTGTATATCACACCGGATAAGACCGTCTGTGTTGAATGTCCATGCTTCCCGCCCGAAGATCCTTATGTAAAGAACAAGTATGGAACATCTTATGATTGCAGATAACCCACCATCCCTACTAATATTATAAATGCGAAAGTAATTCTGTCTTTCTGTCTGTTTGTTACACTTTCACGCCTAAACCACTGAACTGATATTAATGAAATTTGGTAAAGAGATGGAGTTGACCTTGACAAAGAACATAGGATAGTTTTTATCACAGACTTTCGAAAGGATCTCTTGTAAACGCGATATAACCGTCAGTATCAACCTTTATGAAAATCGAAAAACTTTTAGTGTGGATTTGAACACAATATTTCCAAAGTTTTAAAGTCGAAGAAATATATTACAGGAAATTGAATCCGTGTCAAAAGTCACCGAAGACGTTGTACGAATTATCGGCTGCGGTCGTTGACCTTTTGGCATTCCCGCCGGCGTTTGATTGGTCCGAAAACGAGGTGGCCGATTGGACGGAGACCGAAGTGGGGTTGCCGGAGTATAAGGTTAGACTGTTTTAAATATTTATTTATATATGAAAACTTAAGAGTAGAAATTATATAAATGTAACGATTTTCGAGTGATTATTTTATTTAAATAAAAGTAATAATAAGTTTGTAATTGTTGATACTCATTCTATTGCTATATATAATACTTTTTGTATCGTTATTTGGCGCGTAAACAAATATTGCTGATAAAAGTAGAGAAACTAAGGATGATCAATTTTATTCGAGGTTAAAATATGATTTTAAATAATATATTTTTGAAGCAACATGAAGTAAAATTATTCTGAACTTGATAAAGCAGCTGATTAAAAGAAAAAGGAGATGTACCATCACATTTTTTTCTCGCACTACTCAAAATAAAGCCCGTGTTGCAAAAAGATCCAAGTAAGGAAAGTCTCACTCTGAGTGACGAAGTGTTCTAAGACCAGATAAACCACTAGAAATCCAGTTGTGGAATATACCAATAAATATTAAGTTTCTATTTATATTTTATAAACAATCCTATTTATTTTGTTTCAGGAGTGCATCTTGGACAACCACATAAACGGGCGTCGGTTGATAATGCTCGAAGATTCTTATACGCTGACTGAAATTAATGTAAAGAATTTCGACCACATAAAGGTATTGTCACCTGTAATTGCTTAAACTTGTAGATCTTTGAAAGTTAGTGCATTCTGAGACCGAATTTAATAGAAATTTACTGACCAATTTAATATATAGTTTCCATATATATGTCGTTAAAGAACTTTATTTCTCATAAAGAACATACAATGTTCACTTAAATGAGATGTATTACATGATTTAATTTAATTAACAATTTAGTATAGTAGAAACGACTTATACAATTCAGGAGTAGTTAATCTAAGTGCTTTTTACAATAAGTTAATAATATATTTCTAAAAATCGTAAAGGTTTCTTCATTAAAAATTTCATTTGGTAAGCTATTATATAGTTTCGCTCCCTCAAACTGTATAGTTTTAATTCCGTATTTGATCCTGGTCTTATATGTATTATATATGTATTTCGTTTTCAAGGATATTGCGCAGTTTTTTTATAAAAATGGCAATATCTAACTCATGTTATTGGCTATGAATTTTCCTAATAAACTAATAAGTCACATTTCTTTGAACATTAGATTCATTAATCAACAATTCTCTAATCAGATAATAACGTCGAAAGTAAGAGAACTATACACAATGGAATTCATACTGTTCAGTCGTAGCGTGGGCATAGTTCCGAGGAAACCTCTCACGCACTGCAACTGGTTCAAGTCAAGAACGGGACCAACTTGGGGGATCAGACAGAATTGGACAAGGTTAGCAAGGTTGAAAGGTTATTGACCTCCAAATAAATATCCATATACCCTCATTTCTTTTCACGACTTATTAATGTCCCTTAATGAAAATTATGTAATAGTTGATAGTATATAAAAAGACAACATCATTATATGATATGTAGTATACTTCTTGTTATTTATTAAATACAGCCTGATTTATAAAGATTTAACAAAATATAGCCTTATATACGTTATACCTTAATGGAGTTTTATCATCAATTTTAAGGCTTGATATGAATTTTAAAGTATCCATGACTACGATCTTCTTCTACCTGTCAATTTGCCAGCTTTAGCCAGGGTCTGCCTTACATTTTGTGAATAGTTAACTACGTATCCATAACTACGATCGTTCCAGTATATTGTGACCAATTACTCTGTGTTTAATTTGTTTGAAATGACATATTAATTAAAATGTTTGCATGTTTATCTGTTTCTAGAAGCGACATTCTCCGTTGGATGAAAATCATCGGGCCTGAACCGATTTATATGGACCATTGGGATCTGGTTTGGTATTTTGTTAACCAAATATTTAGACAGCCCACAAACAGTTAAAACTACCCAACTAATCCTACTAATATTATAATTGCGAATATTTGTGAGTGTGTGTATGTTTGTTACTTCTTCACGTTCAAACGGCTGAAGCAATTTTTGATAAAATTTTGTACACAGCAAGCTGACGTCCAGGAATAACACATAGGCTTTACATCCCGGAAATCCGCGGGTAACACCGCGGGGCGCAGCTAGTGAGATATTTAGGAACAGAATGACCTGACAATGACTCACACGAGATATTTAAGACTAATTTATCTTCATATATCCATATCTGTTCTAATTAATGTGATACATAAATTAATTTGCCTTATATGTCTTATGGATGATGAAAGGCAATTGAGTATAGATATATGTATTGTAATATAATTTACAATATTTAATTGTTATGACGACATTACAGTGCGATGTTAGAATGGTGACTCCGCGACAGGACATATAATAATGTATTAATTGACAATGTAGCATATCGAATATCGACTTGATTCTAGGTGCCATTATGGACAGTGATTTTTGCTTACATTAATAAAAGATAATAGTTAGGCACATTATTATCTACACTAATCAGATTAGTGCTAATAAAAAAATACATATATATAAATCTAAAAGGATATATAGAATGAAAATTCGACTAGGGCAGGTTTGGTAAAAGTATATATACAAATATCTTCAATAACGTTGGTCATTGTAAACATTTACATCGAAAATGTGAATAATGTAGGATAATGTAACTCGTTTCTGTTTAAGGTACCAAAAACCTGATTTTCCAAAAACGCTATTCGGTCGTGTTGAACGCAGAAAGACGTTTGTCCCTATACCTCATTACAAGCCTACTGATGAAGTTTGTAGAGAATATTTGGTGAGTACTTATGTCTAAATGCATTACTTTTCTTAACTCCCTTCCACTCACGACTCTTGTGTTTTACGTTTTTTGGGATATAAAACAAGATAAATTTCTTATTTGCAACTGAATTCAGTTATTAATTCAATAAAAAAATTATAGTATTTTTGTGTGACTTTGTTTTTGGATCACTCTAAAAACTAATAAAATACTAATGTAACAAATATACCTTCTAGTAACTCACTAGTTTGAGTGGCTGAGATATTCACTAAAACACATATTATTATATTATTATCATTTTGTTAATAAAGTACCTTGAAATATTTTTTCATGTACCCTTTACTATTACTATGGACTATCCAATATTCTTATAAGAATGTGTATGGGTTTGATACTACACACAATTTAGATTTGATAGTTTTATGGAGACCAGCTAGTTTGTGAGAACGACCTGTTTATTTGAACGCTTTATTGATACTGACTAAATTATGACAATGCTTACATTAATATTTGCTTATGAATGAAATTATGTTAATGTATGGGTGAACCCATACAGAATGTATTTGGAGAGAGACAAAAAGCTAATTTTATCCTTTTCATCAGGCGCCAAGAAGATTCATATTACAAAAAGGTATAGCAGAATCCAAGCAATATATATGGATGGAACATAGACCGGAGCCGAAGAAACCGAAGATCAAGAAGACGGAAAAGAAAGAATCGAGGCTCATACCGAAGAAGATCAGTTTGACTGGACTTACAGGGAAAGAATTCATATTGGCGAAACGAAAGATGCCTAAACCGAAGTTTTTGGGATAAATAAAATAAATCATATTCCCATTGTTTTTATTAAAAGAACTATTTTGATGTAGTTTCAATAGATAATAGTGTTCACCTCTCATCATTCCATGTATTCACGGTGCGTGTGTCGGGTCCATCGTTGTAGTGAGAGGAGCTTCAACAGTGACTGGAACTTGTGACCCAGGTGTAGGTTTAAGGGTTTAAGAGGTTTTTTTTATTTTTTGTATTTTAATATTTCCCTATTGTTTTTGTTATTTTTTTTTACTCGTGTTGTGATATTATAAAGTTTTTATCTATGTATCTATCTATCCTTATCTAACGCTTGCCTCCACCGTACAAGCTCCTCTCTACATAACCAAATATGAAAAGCTATACCAACCTGTATGGCTATGATGATAGTATCATTTTGTACTGGTCCAAATATATCTTCGTTGTATATCGTCTGCGCCTCGTTGATCCTCTCAATCGCTTTTCGCATCTCCGTTATATTCTTTGGGCTGAAGCGCTCTGTCGAATTACCTGGAATACACAATTGATAGCAAATTACTTCATATCTGAACTATTCTTTGCATCAAATGACACACAATATAAAAATAAGTCATGCAATAATTTCTATGGTTGCAATTGTATCTATTATTGATTTTCTTCTTCTACCTGGCAATTTTTCCCAGGTATAGCCAGGGTCTGAATTACATGTTTTGAATAGTTTTTGGCTAATAGTTTTTACGATCGACCGCCTGCCTGAGATCAACTTTCTTTGGGAATGCATTAATAAGTGATATCTAAACACTCTTATAAAGTACATATGGCTCGGAAAAATCACATTGGTACTTGATTGGGCCAGGATCGAACCCGCGCTCTCGATCATGAGACGCAGGAATGTTAGTTACTACGCCACCACTGACTAGTGATTTTGCTACTTCAAAAACTCTATTCATGTTTTTGGTCACAATACTTACGCTAATTAAGGTATACATATAATAGATTATATTAAAAGTAAATAAATAAACTATTTCCTACCAGTAGTATTTTTGGAATGGACGGTCAGATACTTGTGTAGTTCCGGCGGCACCAGCGCCAGGACTTGTTCAGACGTGTCGTTGGAGTTCATCAGCTCTTCTGGAAATAGTGTTCCACTGTATTAATGAATGTCCCATATATTTTGGATTTACGTACAGGTGAAGAAAACGGTTAATCCACGGACTGGAAATACTTTTAGGGTACTCTATCTAGTGGTAGTAAAAATTTAAGGTACTTTATCTCTTTTTTCCCCTAAATATATTTAGACCCTAAACATTTAGAGTACATTCTCACTATGTATACCTAATCAATTTTGAACCAGCTAACATAAAATATAAATATATGTATATTTTATATAATTTTGGAAGCACGTATGTATAGAATTAATAGTAATCATTGGTAGTTACTGATATTTTTTTAAATAATGAGAAGTTAAAAAACTTGTATAGTATTAATGCTCTATTAGATCCAAATGTAGATTTTTTATAAGTTACAAGACTCGTGGGTAGTTTTACAATTGTTTAAAATAAACACACAATCGACATGGTGACATAATTACAGGGTAAAAGCTTTTATCCTTCAAACGAAAAACATTAAGATAGGAGATTGGAAGGGGACATACAGACATATAGACATATTAGTGACGAGAAATGTAATATTTTACAAACATACAAATTCTTACTAGGACCTACGATAACAACTAACTAGCCATAAACACATGACAAAGAAATAGATGTAGAAACACATCTCGTCTTAATGATCACGGTTGTAAAGTAACCGAAACGCTGTCGTATGTAATTAAAATAATAACGCGTAGTAACGAAAATATTAATTTCATTAAAATTAATTGAAGAGTTAGAAGAAATGGCGATTTTTTTTGAATTTTAATTGTTCTTCGTCTAAATACGTAGAAACTGCATAATATTACTCATATAAATAATCTTACTTATTTATGGACCATTTCACGTAAGACTTATCTCATTTTTAATTTTTATTTTGTTTATATTTGACAATCATAATTAGTAATTCGTGAAGATACATTCTGCGGACACGTTCCGGAGATAGTGAAAACAAAAGTCAGATAAAACACGTACATACATCCGCCGGTGAGTTAATTTTAAACTTTTGATAACAAAACAAATAAATGTTTTTAATAAGAAAGCGTATTTTTGCTCTGATATTTACAAATAATAATTTTTTGGATGATATTATATTTTTGACATTTTCCTAATATCGGTCGTTTAAGTTCACACGATAGTCGAGGTATTTATCCCCCAAGGCCTGACCTTTGACCTTTCACCGTTGTAATGAAATGTTTTGAGGTTAATTTTATACATAATTTGGCAAACATATCTAATATAATGGCACTATTGTGAAATCTGTTCACGGAATATTAACGCGTGTATTCGTGGAGACAACTCTAGCTGAGAGGCAGCTAATATTCAAGATACAGTTTGTCTTGATTCTTAATGTTCATAGTTACTCCCAGTGAAGCCAGTATGTATAGTTTACAAACACAAGTTGATGCTCATGTTGATACATCACAATGGTTCAGTATTATCATTCATTATAATCACTCATCATAATAATTGTAAGGATTATAGTGGGTTGTAATTAGTATAACACAGATGGCGACACTTGTAACAATACGTAGTGAAATTATTACGCTATTTTTTTTTATTAAATTATGTTTTTTGACATAATTTTACTAAATTTTAAATTTTTATTGCTTAATCTAAATCTGATATATATTCGGTTGCTGTAAAGTAACCGAAACGTCGGGAGTGTGTAGTTTATAATCAAAAATAAAATCGCGTAGTACATCCGAAAAAATATTAGTTTCATTTAAATAAAATATTACCTAAAGTAGCATAATAATTCATAAACCATAACAAAGATCAATGTTTAAGTGTGTCAATACCATATTTTTTGTTAATTTCGTTTTCGTAACCTAATTTCCTCGCCCCGAATCACGCGAATGCTAAAAAATTATACACAAGAAGTATACAAAACCTTCCACCTAGACTCGGAAAAAAACACACAAAACACGCAATGGGGGTGAACAGAAATAACCTGATAAGGGCGGTTCTTCTATAGTGACGTTCCCTGTCTTTATCGCTGTCATATATTCTGGAAAATTATAGAATTCTGGGATTATAGAAATTCAGAATTATTATGAAGTGGCAAATTCTGTTATAGGCTATAAAGATAAGATGTTTTAATGTGATAATAAACTTTGAAGCATTTCGTAATTTTGTAGATTTTGATTGTATTGTATTGCATCGTATCAATTAATATTTTCTTAATTGAAACATTATTAAAATATTAAAAGCAAACATATACAAGCATCTTATAAATATAGTCCAGAATTTTATATAATAAAATCGAGACGAGAAAAAATACTTGCAAAAATTGGCTACGATAAAATTGATCTCATTTTTGTAGAAAAATTCAGTAACCAAACAATGTCTACCTTTCTATAGATACTATTACAAATTTAAAAAATTCCCTACATTCATTTGTCTTTAGGATTTTCCCTACTTTTAAAAAGCCTATCAAAGTTTTTGCTACTATTCGTAATTCATCAACCAGTCTTCTTAAGAAGACCACAATTATCCGTCCAAAAAGAACATTTCTTCCAAATCCCATACCAATGAGAATAATAATTTCTTTCCAACATCTACTCACCGGCATCTTTGTCCATCGCCCCATTGGTAGCAGCCAGCATAATCTGAACCCACACACAGAATAGACCAGCTATGACAACCACGCGCAAGAAGGATGCGTAGCGTATACGAGGCATGGCTCGAGGTCAAGGTCATAGCTCAAAGGCTCTGGTCGGCCCAAACAAGCTGCCACATCTTTGGATCTGAAAGGAGAATCATAAGTCCTTAAAAAGATGATGATACTATTTGTGGCGAATTCTGGATCTGAAAGGAAAATCATTAGTCCTTGTAAAATGGGCCAAAATCCTTCAAAGATTATGTATACATTTTGGGCAAAGGGAATTGTATGGAAGAAAGATTTTCTTCGTTTTGCGTAAAAAAAACTGGTTTAAATGGAATAAATGAAATAGGAATTGAGAATAGTCCTTAAAAAGATGATACTATTTGCGGCGAATTGTGGATCTGAAAGGAAAATCATTAGTCTTTAAAAAAATGGAACCTACGTCCTTAGTCCTTCAAAAATTATAATACAGTTTTGGGCTAAAGGAATTGTATGGAAGAAAGATGTTCTTCGTTTTGCGTAAATAAAAATCTAGTTTAAATAGAATAAATGAAATAGGAGTTGAGAAGAAAGGTATATTATAACATATTCAGCCTTTTTTTCTCAAAAGTCCCATGAAGTTGACAAAAGTTAAAAATAATCTTCAATATCATCATTTTAATCACAAAACCGTCAAATAATTGTCCAGAACGGACATAGTATAAGTAGAGCTATATTATTTTTGATAATTTTAATGTATTTACTAGGATTTTGATATAAAAAATAATTTAGTTTTCACTTTAGTTTACACATAAATCACGCGACGTCACTGCTTCGAGAGTTAAAAACAAATCAATGTGTAATTAACCATTTAATTGTTCATTGTTTATTATTAAGTGCTGCTGAGTACATATAACCTTCAATATATATATATATATATATATACATATATAGAAAGGTCTGCCTGTGACTTCAAAATATTTTCCGGTGCATGTTTTTAGTTACACGACTAAGTTGACAAAGAAATAATTATAATTTGTAAACATACTAATAAATTATTTTTGTTACCACGCTTGGATTAAATTCACGATAAAAGTACTGAATTCTATTCCATAAAAAATTTATAATATATGTAATACATGATCATCCCTACTAATATTATAAATGCGAAAGTAACTCTGTTTGTCTGTCTGTTACGCTTTCACGCCTAAACCACTGAACTGATTTTAATGAAATTTGGTACAGAGATAGAGTTGACCTTGAGAAAGAACATAGGATAGTTTTTATACCAGACTTTTGAAAGGTTCTCTTGGAAACGCGATATAACCGAACTCCAAGCGCGCGCAGTTTCAGGCGGAAAGCTAGTATAGTATGTATATAACCTGTCTCACTCTATGAAGTGCGGAGTTATTGACGATATATGGCGCTAATAATCGATTAACATATATTAAACACACTAATTACTTTGTCACTTCATAAGTTCACACGAACAAAATCGCGTGTAGAAGGTTAGTTTACGCTGTTAGTATAGCAATGACAAATTCTTATCATGAATCTTCTAGTACCCAAGGTGAGGTGAAGGTAGGACGACATAATACAACGATTTACCGCGGCGATGTTTGGAAATTTTTGTTCATAGCATCTCACGAGTAGCGAAAACTAAATGTTTTGAAATTCCTATGTATATGTATTGGCTAGTCTTTTGTTGTGTATGAAGTCTGAATCGAAATTGATGAGGTCTTTTAGTTTCGAGATATATATAAAAGAACAAGAGCATCATGATGCTTTATGAATTAGATTAAAATTAAATTACTTTTTTAACACGTTGTTATTGGATTTGGTTGTTTTCGGATGACTGTCAAACACTATTTAGTTAAACTAATTAAAATCACGTAGTTAATCCGAAAATATTAGTAGGTACTATTTCAACTAAAATGAGACAAGTTCCTCATTGGCAGATAATCCTCATATTCGTTAAACCGACTTCAATAAATGCTAGTTATATTTCTATCTGGCAATTTCCCAGCTTTAGCCAGGGTCTGCCTTACATGTTGTGAATAGTTGTTGCTATTTGTGTTTACGACCGGCCGCCTGCCTGACATTAATCCTCTTTGGGAATGCATTAATCAGTGATGTCTAAATACTCTTAGAAAGTACATATTACTTGGTCAAATCACATTGATACTTGCCAGGATCGAGCCCGCGCCTCAAGCATGAGAGGCGGGCCTTTTAACCACTAGGACACCATTGACTATCTGTATGTATGTATGTTCACAAATATTATTCCGTGATAACTGGTAATAAAGATACCCTCAATATAACATTTTTATGGTACTCCATTAAGTCGTTATAATTCTTTTATTGCTATATAGCGCCCGCTGGCTTTTGTTCATAATTTGAGGAAATATCACAGTTATATATTCATATTATATAAATGTAAGAGTAAGATTTACTTCTAAAGTATTTAGACATCATTGACATATGAAGGAAAACATCGTGAGGAAACATGGACTTATAATTTTGAAATCACCAACCCGTCTTGAGCAAGCGTGGTGATTAATGCTCAAACCTTCTCCATGTGAGAAGAAGCTCAGCAGTGGGCTCTGATAGGATGATGATGAATATAATATATATGTACTATAATGGAAATATAATTTTCGAGAGATGACTGCTACGGTTCTTATATATATATGTATGTATGTATGTGTTAGTATCATGTACAGAACAAAAGCCATTCAGAACCCACAAAGCTCTCAAGGTTTTCCTTTACCCATAGTTCTAAAGACACAAACAAATAACTTGCAAATATATATATGAACAGAATAACAAAACTAATGCATACAAAGCCGCGGGTAAATATTATACTTCAATATATCGTCGTATTTTAAAACCAAGTAATAAAGATTTCATTTCAAATATACTGAAACAAATGTTATATTTAAAACTTAAAGTCGAGAGAAGCCAAGAGCTAACGCTAGTGAAAAGGCGATCTCATGATGGAATGAAAGCTGGGGTACAAATTAAGACCACATAGATACAAACGGGGACCAAATAATGTTACACGACCTTATATATACTAGTTTTTGCCCGCGACTTCGTCCGCAATAATTTCGGAATCTATACTAATATTATAAAGCTGTAGAGTTTGTTTGTTTGTTTAAAAGCGCTAATCTCCGAAACTATTGGTTCGAATTGAATAATTCTTTTTATGTTGGATAGTCCCGTTATCGAGGAAGGCTGTGGGCTATATAACATTACGCTACGACCAATAGGAGCAAAGATATAGTGGTAAATGTATAAAAAACGGGAGAAATTATTTCATCTTTGAAGCCTTCCGTTGCGTGCGCCGTGAAAACGGTTCAAGATACACAAAAAATATGTGTTAAAGAATAATAGCTCTTTTAATGATCTAAAAAACAGTCCGCGACAGTATATGTCTATCTTTTAAGATTAACTCACAAAAACCGTTTTATCCTGAAAATTCTGCGGGAACTCAACCTTTCCGAAAATCCCGCAAGAACGGGAACTATGTGGGAAGAACCAAAAATCTGCCAGAAGTCACTATTCCATGCGGACGAAGTCGCGGGCAAAAGCTAGTTAGTAATATATGTATAACTGACCGGGAGAACTCTATTCCGATTTAGAGGCCGTAAATAACCGGATATTGGAATTTATTAATATTTTTTTCTTTTTCGATCGAATCTTGGGTTGTGTGTATTTTTTAATAGTACATTATAAAAAAATAGAAATCAAAAAGTTTCGTAGGAAAAAAATATTATTAAGATTGAACAACCCTAATAACTTAGGAGTATGAAAAATAGATGTTGGCCGATTCTCAGAGCTACTCGATATGCTGACATTTCATCAAAATCAGTCCAGCCGTTTCGGAGTTCTCTTTTTAACACCGCGACACGAGAATTTTATATAAAAGATATATATTTTTACATATAATGGATAGTCGTTATACGTAACACACATACATACAAACACCTAATTATTACAAATGTTTCTCATTGTGAAAATTTCCGAGGCGAGGTCATATCAATGTTGAATTACAGTAACAGAGGCAACCAATTGTATCATTAACTTCGTTGCTATATTTAATGACAATTCCATGATGAATGGGAGACAATGTCGGCGTATATACTATGTATATCATCTGGCTTTACTTGAATTTAACTAAAAAATAAAAATACATATTATATATAATTCTTCTGTGAGTGTGTATGTCACTGAACTTCTCTCAAACGACTGGACCGATTTGATGAAATTTTTTGTGTGTGTTCAAGGGGATCTGGGAATGGTTTAGATTCACAATTTTGTCTGCTGGACAATGTTTTTTTAATTAATTTTTAATTTATTAGTAGTTGTTGATACAAACGTTTTTTTTTACATTAGATTTGACAACTAATATGTCAATCATTCTGTCGCACTTCAAAACACGGAGATTTATGGCTTTAATAGGTGAACTCCAAAAATATAAATAAAAAAACGTAACAGATATTTCTTGATTATAGGGCTATACGAAGTTCGCCGGGTCTTCTAGTATACAGGGTGACTGGTGAATTACTATCGATACTTGAGGACGTGGTATTTGACGATCATATATGACAAAATAAAAAATAATATAACATAAATATTAATAAACTTATAAGTGAAGTTAACCAAAAGTTATGTAATTAATTACGCATGAACACCCAACAGATTAGTTATATCCGCACGCCGCCGCACGCGTCCACGCTTGGAACACTTGGAACGTGTCAACACTTTATTTATTTATACGGAAATTTTGTCAAAAATTAAGTGCCTATTTTTTTTACATAATTCGAATGAGAATCATGTACCGAGTATTCTCCTTAAATATTGATAGTGATTCACCAGTCACCCTGTATATATATATATACTAGAAGACATATATATATATATATATATATATATATATATATATATATATATATATACATATGAGTACACGTGTAAAGCTACAGTCCGCTACTTGCTTAGTCAACACAATATCGTTTTAACAGCGCGGCGTCGTATGACAAGTTTGTTTAGGTGTTCATTAATTATGTGGAAAATACGTCACTGTTATGAATT